TTAATTCATTTAAACTGAATTATGTTCAATGGAATAAAAAGTTAGTAAACTGCGAAACTAACCATTGAAATACACCTATTCTGGGGTGTTAAAGTAATCATGTTAATTTAATTAAAATGAAAATAACTTTGTTTATTATAGTAGTCTATACATCCATTTAGATCTTATCATACGAGACAAGTTGATTGAAAGAAGGAATGATTAAAAGTAGAAATGTATGCTGTACTATTGACTGCTTTTTTTAGATGGGATTATACTAAGGGTTTTTTTCCTTCAAACTAAAGGAGAATGGTGGGAAAAGTTGACTGTAGTTAGATAATAACTTACTTTACCTCATTCATTTTGTTGACAATTGTACTACGTTTAAAGTTCTGACCTAATACACAAAGATCTATTTACAGAAGCGTTATATGTGACTTGTTTCAAACAGTTGTTTCATCATAAGCAGAGATGGCTAGTGATTGGCAATGTAATTCAGGAAATGCGTTTCTTCCTATATAGGACTCATCAACTGGATGTATTTGAATCCCGGAGTTGATGTTTAATTCGGGATTCAATCTGCACAGACTGCATTCATGCTAATAAGAGACTGATATTATGCAATCCCTAACATTAATGGGAAGATTCAAACAACCAATACAAATAATGAATAAAACTTCATCCCGTTGTACAACCTAGTGGTTATTTGAACTCAGTGGCTAAGTGGATGATGCGATGGCATTTGAAGTGAACTGTACTAAGTTCAAGCTCTGGAATGCAGTTAAATCCAATTGATGAGTCCTAAGATAGGATGAAATCCGCGTCGTAAATTCTATTGATAGCCACCATCCATTTCTGTTTATAATGCTTGTGACTTAAGGCATTATTGAGGCAATCCGTACAGGATGCACAATTACCAATAAGTGACTGATCGATTTCGACACTTTGGATGATATATGTCATAGCATTAAAGATCATCATAATCCCGATTAAACCCCTTATTCAACCCTTAAGAAACTTTTATATTCCCGCTTTCAACCCTTTTTTATAGCTTCATTTTTCCTCTTTAGGCCATCAATGTGTGGTGTGTTGACTTGGGTAGATGTTCATTTATACCCAGCTCTAAACTGATTTTAACTAACTGGTTTATATTGTGAACTATTGTGAACACTCAATAATTCAAATGAGATTAAACTTAGAATCTTTAAGTCTTTCGGTAAGCACATTGTATCTTGACATGTAGTTAATTATGTTGGATGAGTATGTGATGTAAACGATTGAAATACAACAACATGTAACAAAACCTCCTTTGCTAATATTACTTGACTTCTCATTTGTAACAGACTCAAATAGGCGTTTCAGTGCTAATCTATGATTAGTGAGGCTCACCCATGCTCTATGTTATAAGTTACTCCGTTAGGACAAATAATGATGGTTGTGTAATATCACGAATCGATTGAAGCTAGATATGTAAAATATTATATGCCAACTTATTAGTCTGGAAGTTAAACGCTCGTCATAAAACCAGGAGTTTTACGTTTAATCCTCCGAGGAGCACACTGCCAAGAGATTTAGAATATATTTTTTCATTATACATTGCTGACATCAAGGATCAACTGAAGTAATCCTTTTACGGTATACATAATCTAATAGAAACTGACTGATTATAATTCTGACTCATACTTCAAGGAGGAAACGGCCGTCCAGTGCTTCCAAGTTTTTCATGATGGTCTAGCATTTTATTGATTCATGAATTCATCTATTGAATTACTACAATCTCCAAAAAATCCTCCTTTTGATATTAACTGGAAACTATCTGCTTTGACTGTCTCAACTACAGATAAAACTATTCATGATCTATAATTTTAATTGTATAGTAATAATAGTATGAAGTGTTCGAATTTCGCCACATCTAGCTTACAGCTTCTCTTGTAGACTTCTATATGTAATGAAATTCGAACACTTCACTTCTACTTGAAGTTTGTGTTGATAATATTGTTTAGAATAACAATAAAAGCTTCATGACAATATTATCCAGTTCAGAGAATAAAACTCTATCATAAGCAACAATAGTGTTTTTGTGGATATTATATAGTGATTTCAATGGTTAAGATCATCATTAGTCAATTGAAGCTAGAACACCATAGAAAACTTGGAAGCGTTGGATGGTCGTTGAATGCCTGCTGACTTAGTGATCTAGTGGTTAAGCACTCGCACGTGAGACTGATAGATCCTAGGTTCGAATCTCGTAAGGTAGGATCGTAAATGTGCACTGCTAAGGAGTCCCATATTTAGATAAAATGATGGTTCAATTATTTCTGATGATCCAGCTTCAATTGACTCATGATTTCAAGCATTAAGATAGTTTCACTGGTTGAAATCATGAGTCGATTGAAGTTAGACAACCACAGAAAACCTGGAAACACTGGACGGCCGTTTCGTCCCACTATAGGACTCCTCAGTAATGCCCACCCACGATCCCGCACCCCGCGAGATTCGAACCCAGGACCTATCAGTCTCGCGCTAGGCGCCTAACCAACTAGGCCACTGAACCGGCACCCGGAGATTTTAATTTCTAACTTCAACCAATCGATGAAGTTGCACCACGGTATACCATTGTCTTCAAAGAGTTGATATCTCACGACAAACCTGGTTGAACTCCACTGAGTGGGATCGTGGATGCGCACTGCTGAAGAGTCACATACTGGGTCGAAATGACCGTCCAGTGCTTCCAGGTTTTCCATGGTTGTCTAATTTCAATTGATTCATGATTTCAACCAGGGAAATTTCTAAAAATCTCCACAAAACTCATTCTCATAACATTAAGATAGTGTTTTTATTATCCTTATCAAAGAATTAAATGAATACCATTCATAAGAAACGTTATTTTGTCGATATGGTGTTTATTTAAAATTCTCTTTACAATTAACTAATTGCTTGACTCTTATGAATTGCAATGGTGTTCTTTCACTTTTTTTCTTAATTTTTCCGATAGAAAAACAATTTGTTTTGTTAAAAGTAAACTTTACATTTAAACGTGTTTAGTTTTATGTGTGTGTGTGTGTGTGCGGGAATGACCAGCTGTGCTAATACTATTACTTAAACAGTTATAAAATGTCATGTTTTCGTGACTTACATCGATACAGGGAGGGAGTAAGCGAGCTAGCGAGAGAGAGAGAGAGTGGGCCAGCAAAGGAAAGGATATTTATTGAATGAAGTCATAACTGTAAGTGAAGAACAACTTCTTAATCATATAAAACCATTGATGTAAGCACACGCACACACACATAAACACAAGGATAACGACCGCATCACGTACACATTGACAAATACAAAGTAATTAAGTTTTACGAAAAAAAAGACACTTTTTGGACAAAGAGGACAGTACTTTTGTGAATTAAACAAGACAACAAAACAAGTTGGAATGGAACATGAGGGGGGAAATGATCTAGGAATTGATGGTGGTCACAGTGGCATAGATATTACTACTAACTATGTGATGAGATATAACGGATAGTATTTTTCAAGGAGACCCTAATATACTACTTACATATATATATTATACATATATGCAGTGCACTAGTATGATACTCATGTGTAATGTACATGGACTGGTTACCAGGTGATTACGCAGACGTAGCCCTATAGCAATATCTTGAAAATAATTCTATCTAATGCAACATCCAATTTCTTTAACTTTCTGTGTACTTTTAACACCACTCGTTTTTATCGCTTTACAGTTATATACTACTGACTACTGTTATATATTACTACTTAGAGGATTTAAACGTCTATACATGAATAGACATATTTGAATAGATTTTTAAGTAGACAACTTCAGAGGTTGTCCTCAACCTACTCAATGTTTATTAAATCTAGTGCATTCAGTAAATGTAGCTACACTCCTATTTACTCAGTGAGTGAGTGTTGCATCACTGTGGTGTTATTTTCTTCTCTTTTATTTTACATGTTGATGATATGTTGAAAAAGGGATATGAAAGTTTAATAACTAAGCCATCCAATTCTAACAATGTCAGTAGTTAAAATCATGAGTCAACTGAAGCTAGACCACCATGAAAAACCTGGAAGTACTGGACGGCCGTTTCGTCCTAGTGTGAGATTCTTCAGCAGTGAGCACTCACGATCCCGCCTTCACCAAGATTTGATCACAGATGCCTTATAAATGTTGCTCACATCTGCTGGTATCATCTGGCAAGCAATGGTGAGGTTAGATGAAGGGTATTAGGCAATGCTGATAAATCAATTGATGAGGTTGTAAATCTTCATCGACTGAGATGGTTGGGCCACGTGTTACGTATGCCTGAACACCCATTGCCACGACGCTGAATGCTAATTAGTGTTGGAGACGGTTAGAAGGAACTTATGGGCGGCCAAACTGAAATGTGGCATCAGTCCACAAACTCACTATGTTCTAGTCTTATTCGTGTTGGTAGATGTAGACTACTTGATTGGGGTCCGCGTGACTATTGCAACCAATGTTTGGCGAGTCTGTGTGATATGACTCAGAATCGATCACAATGGTGTAGGTGTATGCAATCTTTGTCTTCACTTAAACCGTGAGATTAAAATTACTTTATATCTTTCTTTCTATCAACTAGTTCTTCTTCCTGTATTATATCCTTGTATGTAAGCTTTCTTTTATATACTACCACCATTGAATTAACCACTCCTATGAATCTGGTGTTCAACTTGTTGAGCTAATGATGTGTGGCGACTTGAACCAATGCATATATGTGCCTGGTCCTACACTGTAACTGACTGATTGATTGACTGAGTCTTCTCTCTTCCATGACCGATTGTACAACGAAGCTTATTGAAAGTATACGTACCTACAACGGAATAATATAATTGAAGAATATGACAACTATTATGATGGAGTTTTGTTCGCTAAGCTGAATAGTTTGATCGTGGAGTATTCATCATTCTTCTAAACAACATCATATGCACAATGATGTAAACCATAGTTATTTTGTACTCATTTTTCTTTTTCTTTGTTTTAGTTATCAGCTACTTACACAAGGTGATGATACATTTGAATTGATTCAATTATCAAATGATTTAATCAATAATCTACCTTCATTAGTTCCATCTACCTCAATTAATAATGATAATAATCAACTAATCTATTCAAATTATAATAGTTTATCTTATAATAGACAAATGGAACATCCATTTACTTATCATCAATCGAATACATTATCACCAATAAATCAATTATTACCATATCAAAATCGACCAGAACAATTATATTTAAAAGTTACGAAACCATTAGATTGGGAAACTAAACGTAGCTATCAATTTATATTAACTGCTGAAGATAATGGATCACCAGCATTTACCGGTGAAATGAGTTTGATGGTAAGTTCTTATTTATACAAAAAAGTGATCATCATCAAGTTCTTGTTATATTTCATGTAATCCCTGATATCGGTTTATACGTCTGTTGTCTCAGTTCTATGGAAACTGAGTTGCAAAATTTAGGAAAAGATGGGTAGTGGCAAGCAGTGGAATCCAATTTGACGCGCGTTTCGTCCTATTTGGGACTCGTCAGCTGACTGTACCTGTATCCCAAAGTTAATGTTCACTCCGCGACCCATCGCACAGGCAAGTGGATATCAGTTCTCATTAGCTAAGTGGAGAACGTTATGGTGTGTTGAAGCGAATGGTACTGGGTTCGAGACACGGAGTGAACATCAATTGTGGGATGCAGATGTATGTAGCTGACGAGTCCAAGATAGGTCGAAACGCATATCCTGGATTTCGCTGCTAGCTACTGTATATCTTTGCTTAAATAGTTTGTGACTTAAAGCTATATCAATTCAATCCACACAGGGTGCACATGTGCTAACAACATATTGATCAGTTGCAATCCTAAATAACAATCTAGAGGTACAAGTAAAACAACACCAAGTGAATTTAAATGTAACCACCTTAAAATTGTGAATAACTGACTTGTTAAGGAGTAAAGATTTTTGGGTTGATTAGCTCATGAAACGTTTTAACTGAATATTTACTAAATACACTCTCACAACAGACCTGGTTTAACACCACTGGTCACAGCTTCTTAAAAGAACTCCAGGAAATGCATCTTGAAGTCAGCCACCAGTGAGTAGATGTTGATTAATATCAAACTGTACATCTTTGTTCAGATTTGAAGAAAACAAACTTGAATATGATTTGTGTATATCGTGATTCAATTTAATAATGAAACACTTCTCATTTTAGTCTTCTCATCCGTATAGTAAGTACAACACATCCCACTCTTAATACTACACTTAGCCTCCAATTGCCCTGGTACGACCGAGAGTGAGGAGAGTCAGCTGTCCTTCTCACATGGCCACTTGCATACAACTACTGCCAAGGAAGTCCTAATCACAAACACCTCGTGGAGAGGTCGTTGTCTAAAAAAAGAAGAGAAGGAAAAGTGAATTTCCGGGGTTTAATCAAGTTGGTGGATATAGAGGATCCACCTAGGGGAGTTGGAAAACCTTGATTCCAAACTAATGATGCACATGGGCTCCAGAATCCTGAAGGAACAAATGGCATATGAAGCAATTATTGGTCGACGACTACCATGAAACTGCATCTTCTGACGTTGCTCCACTAACTTGTGGATCAGACCTTTATGTCGAAGGCTTCGGGTGTGGTCCCCTAAGGAAACCACTTGATTCAGTTTGAGCACCTGGGCAGTATCCCACCCCTCTATTTGTTACCTTCTTGTATCAATGTTTATGTGTCTAAATAAATAAAAACGACATCTCATAAGTTCTGTGGTTTATACATGAATCGAATGGTAAGACTCAATACTAAGCAATTATGAATGCATGATTTCTTCTATTTAATAATGTAGTGTCACTCAGATATTTACATCCTAATTTTAGATCATTGTCACTGATGAAAATGATAATCATCCTATATTTCGTAATAAAAGTTTAATGATTAGTGTACCAGAAAATTCACCTGAAGGTTTACATCTTATACAATTAATTGCTGATGATCCAGATGATGGAAAATCTGGTCAAATTATTTATAGTTTAATAAACAATGATGTCAACATTAAACCACCATCCTCATCCTCATCATCATTATCATCGCTATCGAATAGTAATGACCATTCCAATCAACGTCAATTACATAACAATACTCATACTACTAATAATAGTAATGAAATGAAGAAAAGCTTATTTGAAATTGATTCTAAAACTGGTTGGTTAATTATAAATGGACATTTAGATTATGAAATATCAAAACATCATCTTCTACGTGTCATAGCTCGTGATCAATCGAATCATCCAGGATTTGATGAAGCAATCATTAGTGTTTATATTACAGATATCAATGATATTGCACCACAGATTACAGTAGAATCCGTAAATCATATTTCATCAAGTCAATCGATTATTGATAATCATAATAATCAATATAAGAATAATATATTACAAGTGTATATCAATGAAACTCCTGGACATAATATAATGAATTATAAATTAGAAAATGAATATACTACTCATGATAATTTATTACCAACTATGATACAATTATTAGCTTTTGTAGTTGTAAATGATCCAGATACTGGTCCCGGTGGTACATTTCAATGTCATTTAGAATTAAACACAATAGATAACAATGATAATCATAATAAAGCATTTAGATCCAAGTTACATTATCCAACACAATATACATTGAATGAACAAAATCATTATTTATCATTCATTCCAACTCCTAGTACTAATACTATTCGTAGTACTACTGGTACTATAAGTCATAGTTCAATTGTTGGAATGTTTCAATTAAATCCAATATCTAATTTCAATTATGAATTAAATACAATTTATGGATTTGATTATGAATTTAGTAAACAGAATCAGTAAAGGTAAGTTAAATGGTGTTGTTGTTTTTGTTGTTTATTTGTTTTAAATAGTGTTTATCAAGGTTATTTATATTAGATGTGAAACGCTTACATACGAGACCGACAGGTCTTGGGTTTGAATCTTGTGAGGCGGAATCGTGGATGCGCACTACTGAGGAGGGCCATTTTATTTATTTATTTGAACACATAAATATTAGTACAAGAGGGCATCAAATATATATGCGCCACACTGTAGAATAATAAAACGTATTTGGCGGCAGCATACAATTTTCAACCAGGCAATGACTCGAGAACGTTTAGATAGAACCGAGTTTCCACCATAAACGAGCTGCTGTATAAGTCGGAAAATAAGGATACGTAAAGTGGGAATAAAAGAGAGTGAGTAAATGAGGTAGTAAATAATAATAATAATAATAATAATAACAACGTGAATCGTTTGACTGTTAACCGGAGCAAGTATAGTATTTTCCGTAAGTATTGTCATTTCATTCTGTTTGTGTGGGCTGTGATAATCCCCGGGTGCCCAGACCTAAGCAGGTGGTTTTCTTAGAGGGCTACATCCCGAGCCTTTGACCTAAAGGTCTGATTCACAAGGCAGTGGAGCATCGTGAGGAGATACAATCCCATGGAAGCCGGTGACCGACCGACGGTTCATACGCCGTTTGTTCCTTCAAGATACTGGAGCCCATATGCACCATTGGTTTGGGATCCGGTTAGAGCGCCGGACATTCGCCTTTCGTCCTCTCACTTTCGTAAACAACACCCCTGGTGCAAGAAGGCGGTGAGTAGGACTTCCCTGGCAGAGGCTGTATACGCGTGGCCATGTGAGAGCATTTCGAGAGGGAGGGCGAGTCCACCCCACTCTCGGCCATACCAGGGCATTTGGGGGCCATACTAAGACGAAATAGCTGTCTAGTGCTTCCAAGTTTTCTGAGGTGGTGGTTTAGCTTCAAATAACTCATGATCTCAACTATTAAACTTATTTATGTTGTTGTACTTGTTTGCACTGAAATAATTCTGTAGGTGAGACTATAATTTATGTATGATTTTTAAGTGACGCTAAAGTGACCTTAAGAGTGTTCACGTAATAACTAGGATCAAATGGAGGTTACAAGCCAATGTGAGGAATTAGAATTATGATTTGCAGTTGATGGTGAAGATTAGGAATTAGATTTAGGGTTTTCATTATGAAATGACATCAGTTATGATGCCAAAACTCTATTTAGCCAAATAAATGAGTGAATTTCGCGCCGAAATACCAGATCTGTTATTTATACCTGATTGGTTTGTCCATAAATTACAATCTCACCAACTTGGTTAATTGGAATGATAGCTTGTGACTTCATCAAATTTCTTTTTTTTATCGCTTATTAGAAAGACATCGAATAATGTTGTGGAGTAATGTGTGTACTTTGTGTAACTTGGATTGAAAGTTTTATGTAACTGAAATTTCGACCTACAATACTGTGAGAAATTATGCTTTAATTGATGTTCGCAATGTTATTCTGCCAAACTAATGTGAAAAGTGTTCAATCAACAATCCTTAATCTACATATTTATGAAGTTGTTGTGCTTACAAAAGATGTACCGATTAGCTTGTCAGTGACGAACCTATGCTACTTATACTTACTTACTTACGCCTGTTACCGCCGATAGCGGATAGGCTGCCGACTAGCATTCTTCAACCCACTCTTTCCTGAGCCTTCCTTTCTAGTTCTATCCAATTCTTGTTCATTCTTCTCATGTCTGTCTTCATTTCTCAGCGTAATTTAATCCTTGGTCTTCCTCTTCACCTCCTTTGGCCTTGAGGATCCTCAGTGAGGGCATTAGAAGTTGATGATTTACATAATTGATTGTAGGTATACTCGGATAGGTTTTCCTCTGAACTTTTCGATGAATAGGATACGGATAGATTGTAAACAGACGAGAGAAAGCCTAGGGTAGAACTTGATTTAAAACACATTTAAAGGGCACCATATGTATACAAAATTCAGGTAAATGAATGAGTAGACAGTTTATAGTCAACAAATTACTATCAGCTTCCTATTCTGAGTAATTTTTCATAACTTAGGGAGGTATTAGCTTAAACTACAAGTTACTAGTCTATACAATTGAATTAAGATGATTCTGAATTCGAATTCAGCTAAATTATAATTATACTGCAATAATTCATCTTATCCTATACACACGAACAAACGCAGATAAACACAGCGAGTGTAGCAGCAGTCTCTTCATCAGTAGGCCTCAACATACACAAGGGAAAAACCAAGGTCCTCAAATTCAAAGCGGATAACACCAATCCAATCACTCTTGGTGGCGAAACTCTGAAAGAGGTAGAATCCTTCACATACCTGGGAAGCATCATCAATGAACAAGGAGGTTCAGATGCAGACTTAAAGGCGACGATTGGCAAAGCAAGGGCCGCATTCCTACAGCTGAAGAACATATGGGACTCAAAACAACTTTCAACCAATATCAAAGTCACAATCTTCAATACGAACGTGAAGGCAGTTCTACTGTATGGAGCTGAAACTTGGAGAACTACAACAACCACCATCAAGAAGGTACAAGTATATATAAATAGCTGTCGACGCAAGATACTCAACATCCATTGACCGGATACCATCAGCAACAGCCTACTGTAGAAGAGGACAAACCAACTTCCGGCTGGATAGGAAATTAAAAAATGACGTTGTAAGGGGATAGGACATACATTACGGAAATCATCAAACTGCATCACGAGGCAAGCCCTAACTTGGAATCCTGAAGGGAAGCGGAAAAGAGGAAGGCCAAAGAACACATTGCGTCGGATCATAGAAGCAGATATGAAAAAGATGAATAACAATTGGAAAGAACTGGAAAGGATTGCCCAGGACAGGGTTGGATGGAGAATGCTGGTGAGAGGCCTATGTTCCTTCACGAGGAGTAACAGGCATAAGTAAGAAAGTAAGCAATAATTTAACAACATAAAGGATGATCAAACTATTTCTGACAATAATGAAGTGCACACTATTTTAACTTCTATCAATTAAGTTGTAGTCAGTTACTTGAAATTAAGCGACTATAATTATCTTTTATTTATCTATAGTATTCTGTTCAGAATCAGTGTTTCAGAAAAATAAAACAACCTACAACATAGAAACCACTTACTTGATTATGAGGAAAACTTTGAATAAGCCAATACAACCAGTTTTTCATCATGGTAACACTTAGAAAATTGTTATTTACCCTCTGCTAATCATTGAAACTAACGAATATACTCATCATGACTAAGAAGAAGAGTCACTGAGAGATAAGTTAATTATTTAGTATTATTAACCAATAATATGTACAGGCTTCCATGAAATTGATCCTGAATAAAAGAACACGTTTGATCAATATTTAGTTTACCAACTAACTAACAAGCTTAGCAACAAACATTTTTTTGTGTGTGAGCAAAATTGTCTAATAACGAAGTATATATCATTGAATAAATAATACACTTGTAAATAGAATGAACGTTGTTTCCTTCTCTTGTTACTAAGTTATTCTCCTACTCATTTAAATTAGTCATGAGAACTTTATTTCTTCAACATGTGAATATGATATTGATTAATATTGAATAAACTGAATCGATAAAAGCGCACAGATAACTTTGAGCTGTACAATCGATCAATAAATATCTCCGATTCTCTTAATCAATCTACATCTGATAATGATAGAGTAACATTAGAAAACAAGGTTTAATACACGAATGTAAATAAAGATAATTTAATAGTTGAATTTATGAGTCAATTAAAGCTAGATCATCTTGGAAAAACTGAAAGTATTAAGTGGCCATTTCATCCTTATATAGGACTCCTCAGAAGTATGTATTTACGATCATGCATGCAGGACTCGAACCTACGACCTTCAGTTTCGTGTCCAAAAGCTTAACCTCTGTACATCCAATTGTGTTAATATGTAACTTCAATCAATTCACTACTGAGGAGTCCCATACTAAGACGTAACAATCATCTAGTTCTTCCAGGTTTTCTATGGTGGTCTAGCTTTATTTGACTCATGAATTCAATTATTAAACTACTAAAATCTCCACAAAGCCCCTTTCTAGTAAAAAATAACTGAACAAAATATAACTTCTTTCATACATTCGATAACCGGCTTAAACAAATAATGAAAAATTTATCCTTAATGCTTCACAACGATTCGGTCAACAAAAGAATGATTTATCCAATAAATAAAAGAAAAACATTTTTCAGACCATTACATTAAGCTTGTTTCTCCTCGTGGAAGAGCATAGACTTCTCATCAGCATTCTCCATTCAACCTTGTCCTGAGCAATCCTTTTCACCTCTCTCTCCAGTTGTTATTCATCCCGTAGAAGAAAAAAAAGAACGTCAACCACATTAAACAAATTAAACCATTTAAACTCTGCCCTTCAAGTTGACGGAAGAATGATGACACCTCAGGATGAAAGCCGAGATTCTTTGGAAATTACGAGGCTGATGACTCTTCTTACAACCAGAGTTACAATTTTTACAAATACATGAAATATCTTTTCAAACGAAGTAGTAGTATAAATTGACAAACATAAAATATTGAACCGTTGATTAACATTGAAAAAAAATTTGGTTGATAATTAATTAAACCACATGTATAAATTTTAAGTCAAAATTCTTGTTGTTCTTGTTGTTGTCGTCGTACCAAAATTTTTCTTTCATCCTTAATATTAGTTGCTATGCCATATATATATATCTCTTTTTGTGTTTTTCTTTTATATCTCGATCTGTCACACACACATACACACACACACCTACACATACAGCACACGCACGCACACACACACAAATGCAAGTGATCAATATTGTCGGAAATCTACAATTCACTTACATTAAAAACAAAATCATGATATGTCCATACAAAAATCAAATTGGTTTATAGAGAAGATAAATAAAAAACTACCTTCAATAAGATGAATTCAACTGATTCTATTGGATTGTAGTAATTTGTAGAACCAAAAAAAAGAAAAAAACTGACACAGAGATGATATATATTCAATGTATAAACTGGAATATACTAGATATGGGATAGAAATTTATGTTGGATACAGTTGAATTGTTATGTATGTTGTTGTGGTGGTGGTTGTTGGTTTATATCATTGCGTAATCATATAAAATGTCGGTAATGTAAGCGTAAATTACTACCAAAATGTAACGCTAAAAAAACTATTACACGTCATGGTTTTGTTTATTTATGATAGTTCGATCAATTTCTTAAATAGCTAAGTAGGTAATGCGATGTTGTTTGAAGCGAAACGAGACTGTGCTCGAGTCATAGAGTGAATATCAACTCTGAGATGTGGGTACATTATCCAGCTGATAAGTACCAAATAGGATGAAAAGCGCGTCCTGGATTCCACTGTTAGCCAATATTCATCATTGCATATAATGTTCGTGAATCAAGACTATGTCTAGACAATACGCATAGTATGCATATATGCTAATATGAGACTGATCAATTGCAGTCCTAAACATCAATGCGAAGATTCAAACAAACAATCCCAAGTGAATTTAAGTAAGCAAGTGTGTGTAGTTTTACAACATCGACCGATTTTAGTTAGAAAACCATAGAACATAGAAAATCACTAGACAGTTGTGTCATCATAATATGAGACTCTTTCGTATTTTCTATCAACAATTTATAATCAGAGAAGGTTTTTGTAATTTAATTAAATTGTTGAATTCATGAGTCTATTGAAGCTAGACCACCATGTAAACCTGAACGGTGGTGCAACTTAGTCGATTGGTTGAAGTAAGATATTAACGCGCTCATGCACGAGACTGATATATCCTAGGTCGTGGATGCACACTGATGAGGAGTCACACAATAGGACGAAACGGCGATCCAGTGATTCTAAGTTTTCGGTGGTGGTCTAGCTTCAATTGACTCATGATCTCAACAATTATATATCAACAAATAAACCGTATATCAAATACAAAATCTTCAGATTTCCTTAAAGTACTTTAACCAATAAACCCTAATAAATAACATCCAATCAATTCATAATGTCAAACATTCATAGATAACCAGACACAATTTCATTAACTCAAACTAGAACACACCGAAGGATCAAGATATTGAAACCATGTGAATTTGAACATATTTCATAGATCAATAATGAATGAAATAAACTAAGTGCTTTTTTCATTTAGCCATGGTTACTACTTATCCCATATTTCTTGTTACCATCCAACCAATAGTCTGTGTTAGTAATTCACTAAATGTAACCCAGATTTACTTCATTACGTTATATATTTTGAATTTAACTCTTTCTGGTTAGCGTTTTTTAGCGAGTTAATTTACTACAGAATGGGATTGCTAACCCAATACCCAACCCTACTTTTTTATCCGGACCTGACACATCGGTAGTGGCCTAAGAGAGGCTCCAGGTGTAGTTGTTTTGTTTCACTTACAATTTGGTATTCTTTTTCTCCCCTCTTATCTTTCATAGACACAGTTTCTTTTTTCACTCATTCTGTTTTTTTTTTCCTGGTTTTGTTTTCTCTCAATACATTCAATAGATTGTATGCAGTGATAATGGGATACCAAGTCTTACATCCAGTTATGTGATTAAAGTTATTGTACAAGATTTAAATGATAATCCACCAGTTTTTACAAAAGATTATCATAATGTAAGTTGCATTTTATTGTTAATCTGAATTAGTCACTATGTGAATTTTTCTATTGTTTATGTGTAAAACATATTTGAGGAAAAAAGGTGTCTGTATTTCTGGTTTCTAGTTATGTAATATAGATGTATATATGTAAACAGTTTGAAATCAGTCCTAGACAGTATATTCATCAAATGTATTATTATAATGAATAGGGAATTACAGTTAGGGTTTTCATCAAGAAGTGATATCGTGGTGTACTACTTATATTGACATAAGTGTTGTATATATGTTAGTCAGGATTAGAATGTCTGACAGAAAAGAGTCCAGAAGGTCGAGGACGGAAAGAACGGGAACAAAAATAAATTGATATGGAAATGCAGGAACAGTGACGTCTAAGATCATTGACTGATATTTACAAAAGAAGCAGACAAGTTTGAGACAATTGATTGACAGTATTCACTGTATGATTCACAGATTTTACTAAGATGTTCTGTAATGTCGTATTCGAACACATTCGACTGTTCCCATTTGTGATCTCGTTCAATCCAGTAACAATTATAATCCCGAAATGCTGTTTAAATATACGGATGGATAAATTTTGGTTCATAGTCCAAGACTGGCCATCTTAAATCGGATTAGCTCGAATTATGTTTCTTTGAATGAACTAGTAGGCATGATAATTAGTCTTCAAAGACAATATTAACATAGTTTTAAATACACTACTATTCATGAAACTGGAACTTCAAAGATGGATATTGTTGATGAAACACTTGAAAAGTAACTTCAGCGATTCCTCATTTGTAATCGTGATAACATACAGTAATTATCTAATGGTTTTCCTATTCGAAATCCACTAATTTGCTATGTAGTATGAATTTGAATCTTCATGAGATTATCTAGGTAAATAATAGTTACCTGCTTACTGATGACTGGTTAAAAGATGCCTTATTTGAAGTCACACACACATTGTGAAGTAAATTACGATAGAAGTAATTCAGTAGCTCAACAATCTCATACTTCATCAGAAATAAACTCATTTTACAGGTTAGATACCTCTAGGATACTGATCCGGTGAATAATTAATATTGTACTTAATATGAAAACTAAAGACAGTTATTCATGTGTGAAGTTGGCCTTAAACCGGTCGTGCACAGCCGGGGTCGACTTTTCTGACCACGTTCTTCCTTGTGAGAAGGTAGTATCGCTACAGATGCTGGTTGCCCGAGGGAAACACCTTACTGCTGTCACACCCCTCTACGGTCAGCAGTACGACTACACCCTCAGACTTGAAATTGCTGCTTTTAGTTTTACCGTTCTCCAATCAAACTGCCTGACATGTTTGAACCTACAGGAATATATGTTCAAGCCAATATAGCTCAGTTGAGTCATCACGATAGGCAAACCCAATCACCACTAAAAGGTAGCAGCTACGCTCTGGATACTCCTATATAGCCAATTCATTTACAATAAAGCCTAAAGGCTATAAGTTCTATTCATATCACAGTTGTTGGCTCACACATCTAACTAATTCTGAACTCAAATGAAACAAAATGATGCTCTACTTCAAGTATATCATTGATTGCTTATCTGGAAATTTCATTACATACATGTTATCTGTATCCTCTTATTAGAATTTCCCTGTATAATACAAAACATTTGACAAAAGCACTTTGTTATTACACTTAAAAGTAAACTTGCTATCTTTTGTTCTTTCATTCTCATATTACGTTTGATTTTGGTTCCAAATGAAATTGTAATTAATCAGTTAATTACCTAGCTGTATCAACTTTGTTTCAGGCTGTGCTCATTTAATTTTAATTATTCCGTAAACTATGTGGCTACCATGTTGTTGCCTAAATTAATCGAATTAAACTATTGTAGAACAGTAAAATAATCTTATCAGATTCTTTGTATGATATAATACAAGATTTTTCTTTTAAGCGATTAGGTTTTTGATCTTTAACCAACAGAATTACGTTCATAGATTGTCAGGGGTATATAACTTAATATTACTTAATATTTTTGTAAGCAATGATGGATAGTGGTCAGCAGTGGAATCCAGTTTGACGTGCGTTTCGTCCTATTTGGGACTCGTCAACTGGATATATCTGCATTCAGAGTTGATATTGATTTCAAGAATCGAATCCAGTGCTTTTCGCTTCCAGCAAGGGACCGTAAGAACTCAGTAGCTAAGTGAATAACGCAGTGGCGTTTCAAGCGAACAGTACTGGGTTCCAGCCCCAGGGTGAACATCAACTCTGAGATACAGGTATATCCAGCTGACGGGTCCCAGATAGAACGAAACGCTCGTTCCCAATTCCACTGCTAACCACTATCCATCTTTGATTAAAAAGCTTGTGACTTAAGCCTATATTAAGGCGACCCCCACAGGATGAACATATTCCAATAAGAGATGTGTCTTTCCACTGTTATTTAGGACTGAAATTGATCAAAATGAAGTGACACCAAGTGAATATATCAGTTTAGATATGACAATATTTATTATGCAACTAATCATCTGTTACTTAATTACTTCATTACTTCATTATGATATAGTTATATATAGACTTTTGTTTTACCTTATTAATATTCTAATAGTTTTTTGTTCAAGAGAATAGTCCAATCAATACATTGATTAATAAAGTAATTGCAACTGATGCAGACAGTGAAAAGAATGCTGAAATTAAATATCAACTTAGTCAAGATGGTGAAGAATACTTTACTATTAATCAATTAGATGGAACTATTTATACAAAAATAATATTTGATAGAGAATTAAAACAAAAGTACGTTGCATTTTCAGTAATTATATTTATTTAAGCAATTGAAGAAGTGTTTTTGAGTGAGATGATAATATATGAACGATCTTTATGAGACCCTAAAGTAACCTTGAGAATATCCACCTACTTACTTAGTTACGTACGCCTGTTACTCCCAACGGAGCATAAGCCTCCAGTCAGCATTCTCAAACATATTCTGTCCTCCGTTTCTCGTTGTAATGTGTTCTTTGATCTTCCGCCTCTCCTTTGACCCTGAGGATTCTGTGTCAAAGCTTGCCTTGTGACACAGTTAGGTGCTTTCCTCAATATGTATCCTATCCACTTCCAGCAATTATTCCTAATTTCTTCCTCCATTGGGATCTGGTTTGCTCTCTCCCATAGTAGGTTGTTGCTGATAGTGTCTGGTCAACGGATTCGATGTATTTTGTGTAAACAACTGTCAATAAACATTTTTATCTTCTGTATGATGGTTTTCGTAGTTCTCCAAGTTTCCACCTCATACAACTGTCTTGACATTTATATTGAAAATTCTGACTTTGGTGTTGATTAACAAATAGTTGTCTTGATTCTTAGATGTTCTTCAATTGTAAATATGCTGCTACTGATTTACTGATCCACTCCTCCACATCTGCATAAGATCCATGGTGTTCGTCAATGATGTTGTCCAGATATGTAGATGTCTTTTACATCTTCCAATGTTTCTCCATTAAATGTGATTCGATTGGTGCATTCTATGTTGTATCAGAGAATATTGCTATTCATCCACCTACTAATTAGAATTAAATGAAAGTTATAAATCAGTGTGAGGAATTAGAATTATGATTTACAGTTGATGGTTAAGTTTAAGAATTAGAATTATTGTTTTCGTCACGAATCGACATCAGCTAAATGGATGAGTGAATTACGCGCCATAATCCAAGACCTATTTTCTTGAATCTGATTGGTTTATCCATAAATTATAGTCTCGCCATTCGAATTTACTTATTCTGATAAAAACATACACAGTAATTATTAACATGAGTTGTATCAATCATTAAACTGACTAAATTAAATGTATCTATTACTTAGATACAGAGTATCAGGGAAATGATACAATTGATTCTCATTTATATTACATACCCATAGATATCTAACGCAAAGTGATTGCATTACGCTACTTTTAACTAAAGAATTCACACTTGAATCGATAAATCAACAAAGTTTCTACAACAGATCGGTTTTTAATTTGTTCTTGAAGCTGGATGTCTACTGATCAGCAACACTGTGATGGAAATCTTTCCTGGTACTGTCAGCAATGTGATGCGTCTGCAGTTTTCATATTTGCTCAGATCTGCTTTCTTTAGTATCTTGATGGGTTATCCTTCTTTTTAATCCGTTGGAATTTGTTCTTCCTCCCAAATATTCCTGAATAAAATGTAAAGCATGCTTACAGTTACTTATATGCTTGACTTCAGAGCTTCAACTGGTATATTGTGAGGTTCTGTTGATTTCCCACTCTTGATTTGTCTGATGGACATCCTGAGTTCTTTGATCGTTAGTGGAATGACATCTATAGGACGGTCTATGTGTGGTGCTTCGATGTGCAGAGGGTTCAGTTGGAGTGGTCTATTAAAGAGTTCTTCATAGTGCTCTTCCCCCCTCTGTTCCGAAAGTACTGAATACAAGATATATATTGTACACTGAAAACCGTATGTACAACTTAAGCCAACATCTTTCAAAATACATAAATCAACTCCTATCCACTAAAAAGATATTCTGTCTTTTGAAATGTATTTATTGTGTAACTTCATATCAACTATTCATATTTGTGAATCATTATTACTCAATCAACTACATAAACAATACTATTCATTATCAATTTCCAATCCATTAGTTGACCCTTCTAGTCAAACAAGTTGGTGAAGTCTAGTAGGCCCTTCTGGAGAGAAACAGGCCACATCGAAGCACGGCACAACTATCGGGACTAGAATAGCTGGTTTTTCAGCTGGTTTGAGTTTGCCCCATAAGGAGCACACTTTTGGGAATTTTTTGTCGTTTTTCAATCCAAGAGTAATTGCACTGTGATTTTTTGTGGTTTTCGCAATCGGTTTGAGTGTATCGATCGAGCGGATGAATAGCTCGATCTCTACCACCCAGGTTACCGCTCACATTAGTTCATGGGTCATCCGTCCCACTATCTAAAAGGCAATACGCGGGTTTTGCCTCCCTCCAATCCATTAAAAAACATATTTAATGATAGTTAACAATATAAATCAAAGCTTATTATGGATCTTAATTAAAATAAAGGCAATCTGCTTGAATATCTGGGATACCTGTTCCTGACATTTAGATATTTCAACAAGTTATGCCTTTTGTTTATTTCAACTGATCATTATATGAATGAATTGCACAAACTATTCTGGTGTGTTTGTGCAAAGTTTTTAATCTTTCTCTGTACAACTTAGGAAAGAGTACAATCAGCGACATAGTGGTCGCTGCCAATATGCATTGAAGAGAATCAATATTATTTAGATGTCGATTCCTGAATGAATAACATCTAACTGACGATCATTCGATATCTTATCGTTAGGATTGATCAAGAAATCTAGAAGTGGAAACTTGTTGAAATACTTTGTGCTAAGAATTCTATATTATACTGAATACTTTCAATATGTATATGTATATATATATATAATTGATGAGTCACAAGACGGACGTTAGGTACTTTGTAGTTTTTATCATTAATAATTAATAATCTAACTGCTAACGAACTTCTAATCATTAACACTAAAGACCACTACTCGATCTTAGACTGACATTGATAATCTGGAAGTATTGGATGGCCGATTCGTCTCAGTATGAGACTCCTCAACAGTGTGTATCCACGGTCCTGCGCATGGGATTTTAAACCAGGACTTTTCGTCTCACGCGTAAACGTCTAAACTCTAGATCACTGAGCTGGCATCCAACGATGTTCATGTTTAGTGCTTCACGGTTTTTAATGATGGTCTAACATCGATCGGTTCATGACCTCAATTTAAAGATATTCAACAATCACGACAACTCTATACTGATAATTATCATGTGCTCATTAGTGACTAGTTTGAAGATGGATTTCCTGGAGTTCTAGTAAGAAGCCATGACTAGTGGAGTTCAACCGTGTTTGATGTGAGGCAATTAATCAATGAAGACAATGAAGGATGATCGCGAAATGTTGTGGAAAACCAATAATTGATTCATTCGCTATTTTCTCCCTTATGATCCTGAAGTTCATTTGCACCGTTTGTTTAGAATCACGGTTTTCTAACTCCCTTTGTGGAACCTTCAGATCCACTAACACGGTCAAAGTGCCGATCATTCGCTTCTCGTTATCAGCAAGGTAATATCCGCAATCCTGAGGGAACTAATTCTTTTCATGAAATTCATATTGTCATAATCGAATTAAGAAACGATTTTCACTGATATCTTCTTTCATTTATTTCTTTTTTTAAGTTATCGATTTCAAGTCTATGCCAATGATAATGGTCAACCGATTGCATTAACAGCAACCACTACAATTGAAGTGACTATTGTTGATGTTAATGATAATACACCAATGTTTGTCGGTTTAGATCGAGATAATTGTTATCATTTCCGTATAGCAGAAAATCAACCACCGAATACATATGTTGGTATGTTAAAAAAATTTGATATATACATTGTATCTGGTTAGTGTTTTTTTAGCAAGTTAATTTTCTACGGGATGTTGTCGCTAACTCCATGCCCAACCCTCCTTCTTTATCCGGACTTGAAACCGATAGTAGCCCTAGAGTGGCTCCAAGATGAGTTCATCTGTACTAGTTATTTGGAAGATCTTTTGCGATTATTTGTTGTTAAGCACTTTGTTTATACAAGATTTCCTTTTGATTGTACCATAACGTAAACTGATAATGCAAAATGCAGTTTGCGATATATCACAAATTAGGTTCGATTTCATGTTGAAATGTTGAGTCGCCATCACTTAAGAGCTATAAATTGACATGGAAATTTTGTATCCAGTACTTTATTACTGATAATGATTGGTTCTTTACTCAGTACAATTTACATTTCTTGTTATTCACCATTCTCATTCTGAATAAGTAAATATCTAGAACCAATCTATTTGATATACCGACCTGATTTTTATCATTGTATTATCAGACATCAGTAGGGTATGTTTTGTAAACTTTAAAAAAAGTTATTTGCGTGTGGTATATATAGATGTAAACCAAAATATCTCAGCTACTATCTAGTTGCTAATAAATGAATGTTGTACATATCTGTGTTGCTATCAGATGGGGGTTTTCTGGAAATTTTAGTCATTTTATAGTTGATATCATGAGTCAATTGGAGCTAGACCACCATGGAAAACCTGTAAGCACTGGATGGGCGTTTCGTCGTACTACGGGACTCCTCAGCAGTACACATCCACGATCTGACCCCGTGAGATTCAATTATTTTATTTTCAAAACATTCATCACATTCTTGATTTAATAGAAAACTTTATTCATTTTTCTTATTGGATTCATACACTCATTTATTCATCTTCAACTGTATACTGTTCTAATGAATTTGAGTTTGTTTACTTCACTGAATGTCATTGCAAAAAATATATATCATACATAGGTTAACGCTTTCAATGATTACTTACTTACTTACTTACTTACTTACTTACTTACTTACTTACGTCTGTTACCTCTCATGGAGGAACATAGGCCACTTGTCACCATTCTCCATCTAACTCTATCTTGGACAATTCTTTTCCAGTTGTTTCCAATCGCTATTCATTTAAATTTACCAACAAATTGTTTCTAAGTTTTCCGAATAAATTCTACCTTATTTCTTTTACGTAACTATAAGATTCTGGTTTATTTTAAATGACATAGAGTGTTATAGTTTATGACAAGTGATATCACAAAATGTTACAGTTTTAAATTCACTTGGTGTTATTTTACTTGTATCCTTCTATTGTTATTTAGAACTGAAATAGATCAGTCTCTTGTTGGTATATGTGCATCCTGTGTAGATTATCTCAATATAGCCTTAAGTTACGAACTTTTTATTCAAAGATGGATAGGGATTAACAGTGGAATCCAGAACGAGCGTTTCGTACTACGTGGGACTCTTCAGATGGATATGCCTGCATCTCAGAGTTGATGTTCACCCTGGGGCTCGAACCCAGTCCTGCTCTCTTGAAACGTCATCACGTTCTCCACTTAGCTACTGAATCCTGATAGCCACCTGCTTGTACAATGGGGTGAAGTTTATATTCATTAGGTGTTGTTTGCTTATGTCTTCCAATTGTTGTTTAGAACCGATCAGTCTCTTATTGGCATATGTACATCCTGTGAGGATTGCCTCGATTCAGTTTTATGTATGTTCATTAAAAATCATGTAAAAGGTTTACTTTTTATTTAGATAAGCGAGTTTCGTCATTTTTTACCTGAGTTTATTTTGTACAGATGAGTTTAGTATTAGGTTTGTAAAAATTAATAGTGGATCTGGATGACAGTATTAGTGTCAATGACTATAGTAGATGATGTGGTGTGTGCTGTTGATGTTGACAGAGATGAGTAGTATGTAACATCAACCAAAAGTGAAATGTTTGGTGGAGGAAGGTCAAGAAGATCGAAGAAAAAAGAACGAGAACAGAGAGTGATTGATGTGAATTCTGAGCCGCTTGATTGACACTTTGCAAATGAAGTATTTACTGAATATTTCTCAGATTTTACAATTTATTTGTTAATTTACTTAAACACATAAACATTGATATAAGGAGGCACCAAATAGATATGCACCACATAAATCATTCGATTTGTTTGAGGGTTGGAATACTGCCTGGACATTCGCATTTCGTCCTCTCAATTTCGTAAACAACACATCCGCTGCGAGAAGGCAATGAGTAGGACTTTCCTGGCAGCGGTTGTATGCAGATTTTACTAAGTCATTTTGTAATTTTCCATTCAAATACATTCGATTGTTCCCACTCGTGTTCTCGTTCACTACAATAGTAGTGAAGAACTATTGTGAAATGGTGCAAAGTATTTTAGTAAGTTATTTTCAAAACAAAGTTTGTGAATCAACTCAACAATCCACATTTCATATTCGCATACTGCGAATAAAAACATTGGCACGCATTCTAACTAAGGTTTCTAGTCAGAGATCGTAATCGGAACGTTCAGATTTATTTATATAACTCAAATTAACAATCAGTGATTTTATGTACAAAATATATATCTCGCGAGACGTGATCGTGGATGCGCACAACTGTGGAGTCCCATACTAGGATGAAACAGCCGTCCAGTGCTTCCAGGTTTTCCATGGTGGTCTAACTTTAACTATAAAATTACTATAACATCCACAAAACCTTTTTTCTGATCAGAATATATATGTTTCTTCAGCAGCCTTTTTTACGAAATATTATAAGTCTAGGAAAACTATAGTTAAACATTCATAGCTCACGTTCAAAGCCTTGAAGAATGAAAACACTTACGTTAATACCGCTAATTCTAAATCACCCTGTGTTTCTCAATCAAAGACTTCATTGAGGACATATATATATATATATATATATATATATATATATATATATATATATATATCAGAAGAGGTTTTGTGGATATTATAATAATTTTAATAGCTGAATTCCTGAATCATTTGAAGCTAGACCACCACCATAGAAAACCTCAAAGCACTGGATGAACGTTTCATCCTAGTATGGGACTCCACAGTAGTGCACATTCACAATCTCACCTCGCGAGATTCAAACCTGGAACTTATCAGTCTCGCTCACAAACGCTTAACCTGTAGACCACTGAATTGGTATCTAACTCCAACTAATCCATTTTTATACTATTTAAAATAATAGAGATAGCAATTTATTGAACTGATTACATAACTAAGTCTAATTACATCTCACTATTATTGTGATTTATTATTATGTAATACTATCTAAACTAAATTTCCTTCTTTTTTTTTTGGTTCAAAATCACTTGTAAGTATATAATATCTATCACTGAATATACGATTTTTGGCTCCATATCATAATAGGAGACAATAGTTACAACCAAACTAATATAAATTATACATTTCAACCACCAATCTCTTATTACATAATGAAATTACAATAAATAATAGTAGAAAAAAGAAAAGAAAAGAGAAAAAGAAAAGAAAGAAAGAAAGAATCAGATATTTTTTCCTGTATTGATTTAAGTAGTAGCTTTAAGTTCTATGTGTCAAACTAATATGAGGTGAATAAAGAAAAACAGAGAGAAAAAAGGGAAAAAAGAAAATAAAGAAAAAAACAACAAAAAGAACTGAATACTATTTGTATTTTTTTTATAACTAACGTTTGATTATAATAGTAGTAAGTGTGTAATTAATCAATTGTAGTTTTCACATTATTTACTTTCTTATTAGTAGTATATATATGGTATGTATTTATGTGTATAGATTATTATTATTATTATTTGTGCTTAAAAATGGTGCCATATATACATTATAGAAGGATATAATATTCTACCAAGTGAATTAAAGTTTTATGGTTATTTAGAATGTTGTAATTAACTAAATATAGTTAGTGATATGCTTGGTTCTATGTTGTAGTTAACGGCTCCCAAATGCTCTGGTACGGCCGAGAGTGGGGAGAGTCCACTCTCCCTCTCGAAATGCTTTCGCATGGCTACGTGTATATAGTCTCTGCCAGGGAAGTCCTACTCATTGCCTCCTCGTGGTGGGGGTGCTGTTCACGAGATTGAGAGAATGAAAACCAAATGTCTGGCGCTTTAACCGGGTTGGTGGGCATAGAGAGTCCATCTAGGGGAGTTGGAAAACCCTGATTCCAAACCAATGGTGCACGTGAACTCCACTATCCTGAAGGAAACAAATGGGATATGAACCAATAGTTGGTCACCGGCTACCATGGGACTGTATCTTCTTACGTTGCTTCACTGCCTTGTGGGTCAGACTTTCAGGTTGAAGGATTCGGGTATGGCCTATCAAGGAAACCACTTGCTTCGGTTCGGGCACCCGAACAGTATCATAGCCCTTACACATATCAAATGAGATCTGTGTGGCGCATATCTATTTGGTGCCTCCTTGTACCAATATCTATGTGTTAAAATAAAATAATAAAATGTACTTAACTGATAGTTAATGATGCGCCTAAGAAAAGAGGGTTACTTCAATATCAACAATGAGAGTATAGCTTATGGACAACCTTTGAGCGACACTAAAGTGATTTTGAGAATGTTCATCTACTATCTAGGACTAAATGAGGATTATAAACTACGGTAAGGAATTAGATTAAGGTTAAGAATTAGATTTATGATTTTTATCATTAACTGATATAAACTATAATGCCAAAATATTATTTTGCTAAATAAATGGATAAATTTCGCGTCAAAATTTGAGACCTGTTATCTTTTATCTGATTGGTTCGTCCATAAATGATAGTCTTGCCACATTAACTTGTATACCCATAACCAACATTAGTCGTTTACTGTTGGATACACAGATGAAAGAACATGTTAGTTAAAATTTGTTTGTTTGTTAGTTTTTTTTGCAGATCATTAAACCCTATTTATTGTCAAATTGAATGTGAATGAATTACAGGAAGATATTATGAACTGAATGATGAATAGGGCTGATAGGTCCTGGGTTCGAATCCCGCGAAAGGGAGGTATCGTGGATGCATAATGATGAGGAATCTCACAATAGAATGAAAACAATCGTCCAGTTCTTCCAGATTTTTCATAGTAGTGGTTTAGCTTCCATTGATTCATGATCTTAACTAATAAAAAGTATTGTAATATCCATAAAACCCCCTCCTTTCTGAAATATGTTATTTGTTATATGATTTGATAAAGTATTTCATGTACTCTAATTGTTGTTATTTTATTATAAACTAAGGATAGTTTGAAAGAAAAAAAACAACAGTCTATTAGGTATTGAATAATTGCTAAGTAACATTGTCAATTTACTAAAGTTGAAAATGTCAATTATCACATGTTGACCTAGTTTTTTTTTTAAATGATTCATATAAATGGTAAAATTAAACCGGCTTACTATACGATTGTTAGTCAGATGAATTATCTCACAGATTGAAATCATGAGTCGATTAAAGCTAGACCACAACCATGGAAAACCTGGAAGTACTGGACGACCGTTTCGTCCTAGTATGGTGCTCCTCAGCAGTGCGCATCCATGATCCGGCACCGCGTGAGACTAGAACCCAGGACCCATCAGTCTCGCGCTATGCGCTTAACCAACTAGATCACTGAGCCGGCACCCGACGGTGTTAACGTCTAACTTCAACCAATCCACGAAGTTGCGCCACCGTACACCATTCCCTTCAGTGAGTTGATATCTCACATTAGACCTGGTTTAACTCCACTGGTAACGGCTTCTCACTAGAACTCCAGAAGTATCTCTTGAAGTCAGTCACTAGTGAGCAGATGATTATTATCAAAAGGGGTTTGTGGAGATTGGATGCCGGCTCAGTTATCCAGTTGGTTAAGCGCCTGACGCGAGACTGATAGGTCCTGAGTCCGAGTCTCACAGGGTGCGGGTTCGTGAGAAGTTTCATACTAGGATGAAACGGCCGTCCAGTGCTTCCAGGTTTTCCATGGTTGTGGTCTAGCTTCAATTGACTTACGATTTCATTCTGTGAAATTTCTAAAATCTCCACAAACTCCTCCTGAAGATAAATTATCTATTACAGCGAATGACTGGTCAATTCCAATGATGAAGAGGTTATCTATGAAATATTGAAAAGTTCTATAGTATTGTTTCATTAAATAAACCTTATAGATACAATACTTCGACTTAGACATATTAATTCTAGGTATGATCTATCTGAAACTTCCCAAGTGTACACTACTGAAGTGTCGTATCATCAGAATGAAACGATCCAATCAACAGTTCATACTTTTCAACAGTTATCTAACTGAAGTCAGTCAAAAATCATTGTCACCTAGTAACAATCAATAATAATAGTTTTCTGTAGTTTATTACAAATTTCAAATTAGTTAAGATAAAAGTGTATTTTTATATTAAAAATAACTTTGAATTGTAAAATTGTTGTTCTTGTCAACTACTTGACATACATGTTCATTATCTGTCATAATCCTTTAAAAAAGACCGTAACACATTCATAGGCAGTCAGCTAACAAACATAACAATGTACAAATACCAAAGTAAATATATAAATATAGTTTGGACAGTATGGAAAGCCAACAATAAATACTTTTTTGTGACTTTATGGCTTATTCGATTACTCTTTTCATGATGATGATGATGATGATGATGCTTCGGATGATGATGATGATGATGCTTCGGATGATGTTTGGATGATGATGATGATGCTTCGGGTGATGCTTTGGATGATGATGACGATGCTTCGGATGATAACGGTGATGATGATGCTTCGGATGATGATGATGATGATAATGATAATTGTGTCATGTTCAATAAAAAGTAGTATTTAATTTTTGTTTTGTGGTAAACTTTAAGCAACTAATTACAAATGGTTAATTATTTTGTGATCAAAAATGACTCATCAAATGTATAACAAAATGGGGACTGATTAATACTAATGAATATGATGAAGTATTTAGTGTCAGTTTGACAATCAAGTTCTTCATTGGATTGATTGTTGATGTTTTAGGTAATTGCTCCGAAAATTACTGAAGTATGTATGCATCTTATCAAAGCTCGTCACCACTCTTGGAGCATAGACTGCCGACTCTACAACTTATTCTATCATATACTCTACTTTCCAGTTATTTTCACTTCTTTTTCATTAATTTGATATCAAACCTTCAGTTCCCAGTGCAACATGTTCTTTGGTCTTCCTTTTTATTTTGTCGTCAATATTTCAAGTTAGAGTTTGCATCTTGAGAAAAATTGATGATTTTCATAATGTATGTCCTATTCACCTTCAGAGTCTTTTCCTAATTTCTTCTTAAAAAGGAAGCCGGTTTGTTCTCTACCACAGTAGATTGTTGCTGACGATATCTGGTCGAAGGATCCGGAGTATTTTTAGTGGATGGTCTTTTATAAATATCCGTACTTTTTTGATGATGTTTAAAGTAGTTCTCTAAGTTTTAGGCTTCTACCTCTTTTAGAGCTTCTCTATCAAATATGATTGGATTAATGTCCTCTGTGTTGTATATTATAGTCTTACTTTCTCCTATGTGAATACTGAAACCTACTGTTCTGGAAGCTGCTTTCACACTGACTGTCTTCATCTACACTGGTTACTGTGCATAGGATAGGAAAGTTAAGTTAGTCAAAAGGTCCAAACCGTCTAGCTTTATCTAAGCTACCTACTGTATTCCATGCTTCTCCTGTGACTTAAAGGTTTCATAACCTACTCAATCACCAAAAGAAAGAGTGAGAATAAGAAGCTTCGTTTGACACTGGTCTTCACTTAAAACACATCTGTGAGCCTCTCTTCAAGTACGATTTTACAGTATAGTCAATTGTAAAATTTCCATGATAGTGACAATCATCTCAGATACTCTATAGTATCAAAGAATGTAATCGCTAAACCCATGCTCAACTCTATTCCTTTACCTTTATCTTTGTACCACCAGTAAGAGTAGATGGACTTAAGATGAAGCTATATTAGATGTCCAATTCTAGGATGGAACAGCTTTCTATAGCACTCCAACTGAAATCAACCTATGACGAAGACTACTTAAAAGCTTACTTGAGTGAATTAATAAACATTGATTATATAAATGTTATCTTTCATTTGATTTCATTCACTTATCAAATTTTTTTTAATATTTTTTAGGTATCCTACTTGGTACCGATAATGATATTGATGAAAATGCTCAATTACATTTTCGTTTACTTGGTACAACATCTCATTTTAGATTGAATAGTTCCACTGGAGAAATAACAACTTTACAATTATTAGATCGTGAAAAACAAGCAAATTATGAATTAATTATTTTATTAATTGATCATGGTAAACCATCACGTTCAGCAACAGCTAAAGTTCATATACATGTAACTGATACAAATGATCATGATCCAATTGTTGTATTTCCAGTTAATGGTAAAGGTAATATTAGTGTATCTTATCGGGAACCACCAGGTGAAGTAAGTAGAATTGAATTAATCTTTTATTAACTTTGAAAAAAAGATGAATGATGGTTAGGACCCATGTTTCGTCCGATTTCGAACTCTTCAGGTGGATGTATCTGAACCCAAGAGTTGATATTCACTCCACTATCCATCTCTGTTTCAAATGCTTGTGATTTCCTGGAAATATTGAGACAATTCGACTAGAATGCACATATGCCAAAACTGACTGATCCATAATAGTCTTTAAAAATCAATGAGAAGATCCATACAATCAATACAAGATGAATTATTATTATAATAAATTTGTTTACTCAATTGAAAAGCCGATTCTCTGTTCCCTCTAGAAATGACCGATTGTCAGACTTTTGAATTGATTCATTACTGTTTTAGTTTTCAGTATCGATTGGGAACAAAAAGAAGACCCTTGAAGTCTATGTCTAGTGAATAAAGATAAGACCTACTGTGATAATCCAGCTGTTACACCCGATTTTCCTAGAATCCCACGTAGTTCTGTACAATTTGCAAATTATTACATTAAACATTAATGTTTCAGAACGAGTTAAAGCTACTCAGCTCAATTTGTACTCAAGAGACACAATACAATACTATTTTATAGTTAGAGACCTCGAGTTTCATAGTTTAAAATCGTTCACTGTGTAGTAATATATGATGATATTCTATCTACTATTAAATTGTATGTTCACATTTTACTTACTTTACTTACCTAATTACGCCTGTTACTTTCAATGGAGCATAGGCCGTTGACCAGCATTCTCCGATACACTCTGTCCTCGAATTTTTTTTCCAGTTCTATCCAATTTTGGTTCATTCGTTTCATGTCTATCTCCATTTCTCGGCGTAACTGGTTCTTTGGTTTTCATATTTTCGTTGGCCTTGAGGATTCCAAATGAGGTTTTGTCTTGTGACACAGTCAGATACTTTCCTCAATGTGTGTTTTATTCACTTCTAGCGCTTCTTCCTGAATTTTTCCTCCGTTATGTGTTAACATAATACTGCATTAATTTCCATCTCACTTTTCATGTTTTTGTATCCTGTTGTAATGTAATTTACCAATTTCTTTCAGATAGTAGCACGAATCGAAGCACGTGATCCCGATGAAGGACATAATTCTTTATTACATTTCAATTTATATTCTGGCAATCAAGCTTCAGTCTTTCGTCTTGGTAGTACATCAGCTGAATTAATAATTGATCGTGAATTAACTATACAAGATATTGGCTTATATCCATTAGTAATACATATACAAGACGCTGGTATTCCATCACGTACAACAGAAGTGAAACTAATGGTTAAAGTAAGTGATTTTTTTGTTTTTACTTTTACAAAATCAATTTTTTTGAGCTTTAACTTGACTAGTCTATAAATTGTATTGCAGCAATATCAGAATATATTGAAATCAACCAAACTATATTCTGTCTTTATAGTTTTTGACTAAGATCATGAACTGATTGATGTTAGACTACTACTGAAAATCTGGAAGCGCTGGACAGCTGTTTCGTCCTACTGTGGGACTCCTTAGCAAAATTTGAATCCAGAGCTTCCGGTCTCGCGCGCGAATGCTCACCTTCCAGACCACTGAACCAGTCGTCATCCAATGGTGTGAATGTTTAACCTCAACCGATTCACGAAATTGGGCAACCATCTTTCATTGTACTGAAGTAAATACTTGTCTCTATCTGACACGGATTACCTGCACTGGTCACGGCCACCCAGTGCTTCCAGGTTTTCAATGGTAGTCTAACATCTAAAGGTTCATGATCTCACTCAAAAACTTAATAATCTCCACAACCCTATACTGATACAGTTTTTCTGTTAAGGTTTCTTTTAAATTAAATTGGTAGTTGTTTCTGATGGAGAATAGGTCACAGACCAGCATTCTACAACACACACTGTCCTCGGTATTCCGTTCTAGTTCTATCCAATTCTTGTTCATTCTTTTCATGTCTGTCTCCATTTCTCAGCGTAATGTGTTCTTTGGTCTTCCTCATCACCCCCTTTGGCATTGAGGATTCCATGTGAGGGCTTATCTCGTGACGCAGTTTGGTGATTTCCTCAATGTGTGTCCTATCCACTTCCAGCAATTATTCCTGATTTCTTCCTCCACTGCAATCTAGTTTGTTCTCTCTCATAGTAGGTTGTTGCTGATAGTGTCTGGTCAACGAATCCGAAGTATTTTGCGTAAACAACTGTTAATAAACATTTGTATCTTTTGGATGATGGCTTTCGTAGTTCTCCAGGTTTCCTCCCCATACAGTAGAACTGTACTGTTTTGAGTTCCAGATGTTCTCCAGTTGTAAATATTCTCCTCTCGCTTTGCCTATCCGTACCGTCACATCTGTATCAGATCCATCGTGTTCATCAGTGACGCTGCCCAGATATGTGAATGTTTTTTTACATCTTCCAAAACTTCTCTGTCAAGTTTGATTCGATTGTTGCATGTTGTATTGTATCGGAGAATCTTGCTTTTCCGTTTGAGTATGTTGAGACCTACTGCTGCTAAGGCTGCTGTAAAATTAACATTATCAACATAAATTCTGCTGTAATATATCTAATCTGACAATGGCAACTTAAAAATGTTTCAATCTTATCAATACCATACACTAATTAGAACTAATCATTCATAATTATAGAAGTAACTGAAGTTTTGTTTGTATGCTATTTCATCTATTACAATAGGTCACTCGAAATGATTCCAATTTATTTACATTACACCCACTATCAATTAAATCTACCGTATACCTCCATCATTTCATAATATTAGCCTACATCCATTATGACTACAACTGAAGTTTCTTTTTTTCTGAAATTCCTATTGATATTCCAGTCTAGATGGAAATCAGAACCACCACCACCACCACTGCCCCCACATATTCAGTAACTTTTTATCTAAAGTGCAGTTATTGATATATGCACATTTGTAATCATTTTTATGACCAGAAGGGGTTTTGTGGAGATTTTTTAGAAATTTCACTGATTGAAATCATGAGTCAGTTGAAGCTAGACTGCAACCATGGAAAACCTGGAAGCACTGGATGGCTGTTCCGTTCCAGTATGGGACCCCTCAGCAGTGCACATCCACGACCCCGTGCCTCGCGAGATTCAAACATAGGACCTGTCACTCTCGCGCTAGGCGCTTAACCAACTAGACCACTGAACCGACATCCAACGGTGTTAATGTTTAACTTCAACCAATCCATGAAGTTGCGCCACCGTACACCATTGTCTTCAGTGAGTTGATATCTCACAACAGACCTGCTGAGAGATCCCATATTAGAACGAAACGGCCGTCCAGTGCTTCTAAATTTTTCATAGTGGTCTAGCTTCAATTGACTCACTAAACGGGATCATTAAATTATAGAGCCTATTAATGATAAGTCTTCTTCATTCCAGATAATAATCAAGACTGTTATGGAGATTATTAAGCATTGCTGAGGAGTCCCATAATAGGATGAAATAGCCATCCAATGTTCCCAGGTTTTCAGTGGTAGTCTAATATCACTCGGTTCATAATCTCAATCAGTATTATGATAATGCATATTAGTTTTAAGGCCATAAAGAACCAATGACAAGAAATCATATTTTGTATTTAACTAAGTCATTTATGATACAAAAGTAAATATCAGGTATATAATTAATTAACTGTAATTTATCAACAGTAGAATAAATAATAACAATAACAATTGATCGATCATTCGGTAGTGATCACTTTCATCTATGCCAGGTTCTTTTTAGTTCAGATCAAATCCTATCGACAAAGTGTCAATTCGGCCATCAGTTTACATAACTTGAGATTACATGCACTATGTTGAGATAAAATAGTGATTAGAGGTAATCAACAAGAAACCCTGGACTTAGATTTCGTGCTATTTTAGAACTCATCATCAAGGTGTACCTGTAATCTTGTTGGAACTGATGCTCCCTGACGGATTCGATCCCGTGTTACACAGCTTCACATAGAGAAACGTTACCACTGAGCTGTGTAGACCATTACTGACTTTCTGTAAGACTGAGATATATTTGGTGATAAATACCAAGTAGCACAAAACTTAGGTCCAAGGTTTCCTGTTGACTACCTTCAACTACCATCTTATAAAACAACAATTAATACTTAATGAATACAGAATCCAAATAGGTATCATCATCTAACGATAGAATTGCTTTCTGGAAGTTTCAACTTTCCCAGTTAATGGCTTAATGTCAGATGAATAGATCGTTAAACGATAAAGTTTTAAATCACATGATTCACTGTTAATTAGTAAATATTTAATCTTATCAATGAAGTACTGTCACTATTTTACTTGATTTAGTTACTATCTATCAACGTCATAGATTTGGTCATAACGATATCTAGTTACTAACTTGTCTATGTTTATCACTATGCTTTTCTTTTCTTTTTTTTTCTCACTTCATTTCAAATCATTGATTTATTCTTTATTATTTGTTTTGTTCACTTGAATTCATAACTAATTGTGTAATAGAATTTACCTATGTGTATGTATATTGATATGTGTATCCAAGCTGTTACATTGTAGACAACAACAACAAATAATAGTCTTTAAAGAAACTTTACAAAATAGACAAACATTTAAATTTCCGGTTTTATTCTTATTCTCAGCTTATTTTTCTTTCTTTTATTTACTATGAGAGAAAATAATTTTAGTTATACTGTTTCTATCTGAGTAACTAAACTTGTGTGTGTGTGTATTTCTCTCTCTCCTCCCCCCCTCTTCGCTCATTTCTGTGATTGTCTTATTTAACCTTCTCATTGAATATCGGTATCGGATATGGTTTTATGAGGGAATAAAAAAACATTAAAACATATCATTCTGTAGTTAAAGTACATGAATAGTAAGTTTATTACCATGTGTATATACACAGGAATGTTTGTATGTAGATATGTGTGAGTAATTTTGATACTCATATGATTGTTACTGAATTGTTCTAAATTTTAAAAAAGAAGAAAAAACGGGAATAAGATTTTGCAAACTATCAGCTATTGAAATTATATATATACAACTTCAGTTTCTATTGAACAGTCTTGTCTGAACATCTTCAGAAAAATAATCAAACATCAACAGGTTGTGTTTTTTTCTAATGTTTGTCAGTATGAGGCTTTGGAGATTATTACGTTTTTTATTCAGATCATGAACTGATTGATGTTAGACTACCATTGAAAACCTTGAAGCATTGAACGGCTATTTTGTCCTATTGTAGGACTCTTCAGCAATGTGAATCCACGATCTCGCGCACGAACGCTTAACCTCTAGATCACTGAACCAGTCGGTATCCAACGGTGTGAATATCTAACTTTAACCAATCCAGGAAATCGCGCAACCATCTTCCATACCTGTCTCTATCTGACACGAATGAGCTCCACTGGTCACGGCTTCTCACTAGAACTCCGAGAATTCACTTATGAAGTTAGTCACTATTGAGCACATGGTAATTATCAGTATAGGGTTGTGGAGATTACTAAGTTTTTAATTGAGATCATGAACTCATTGTGTGTTTAATCATTTTCAGATTTTCAATTAGGAATTTATCAATATGAACTTTATATTACAATATCAGCTATATCTTTAACTGACAGTAAATAATATACTTGAAAGTAATCGAAAGTACTCTTAATGAATATGGATCGTTCATCTTATTAAACATCAGTTATACCGATAGTCTAAGAGAAATCATTACTAGTCACCGCTTAGAATAATGTTTAAGTATTATGACAAATTGACTCAACTTCAAACTATGAGTTTGAAGATAAAGACTCATAAGTCTCAAGGTAATGTCCTTTTTCTTTAAATCTGGAAATATCAAACTTTGTTCCTATCTGATTAAAATGAAACTTCTATCTGTCATGTATTATGGCCTATAAAATAACACTAATTAGAATATCGACCTTATCTTTGTGCTGATACAATAACATGTCAATCAACCCTAACAACTTCATGTCAATTCTAAGTCTTCATTGGTCTTCTATATAGTCGTTTATCGCCTAGCTCAGTCCATAACAAAAATATCAGGAACCACTAAATGAATCGTATATTGCAGATATATTTAGTTCATATTCAAACAAATCAGATCGCAGCATACCATAAATACCATAAATAAAAACTATACAAGTTCAAGCCAAAAAGTGTATATGAGTACAGAAGACTGTAACTAATAGAATGGGAATAAATGAAGAATAGTAAATCATATAACAGTAACCAATAGATGGAATTAAAAACTTATAACAAAACAAATACGAACATACATATTCTAGCGGTAAATAAATCCCTAAAAACAATAGTCTATAAGTCTTCGACAGTTAGATACTGATCACATTAGTTTTAATGTACTCATCTAGCTGAAGGAGCTCAGTTATGTATCTACACCAGATCATGAGTGGGAACTCATGCTCAACATCCTTTACAATCGTTAGCTAGCCTAAATCACTTGATTCTCGATATATTGATAGCCTATTAAATATATCTTCAAACCTCTTCACTTCTCACTTTTGATTTCACTAGCTGAGCACAATTCATTTATAGAAAATGTTACTGGTTAGAGTGTTGTCAAACTACAAATACCTATAACATCTTCAATATAATCTAACTACTTAGTAGTTATCCAATAGAAGTCTATATAATGATAGTTCATAAATGTTGGGGACGTTAGATCCCCAGAACTCACTTGGGAAAGGACCTAATTCTGTAATTTTATTTAGGAAATTTGAATTTTTTTGTTTTCGCGCCAAAGGCGCTCTTGTCACCTTCATGTCGTGAGATTTAGATGGTGGTTTGGAGGTAGTCAACAGGAAACCCTGGACCCGGGTTCAGTGTCGAGTCACCTAGACTGGTGGCCACATTGCAACATGATCGATAGCATTCGATCTGCACTAATAAGGACTAGACAAGCATGACACTGATCACCACTCAGTGATCAATCAATTGTGACCTTCATGTCGTATTTCCCACTGAGAAATATCTTAAATGCTATTGGTCCGTTGCGTCTTTTAGTATGCTATTTGGTAACTCTTCCCAAGGACGGTTTTGTACTGTATATATACGATTTGAATCGTGTTTGTTGTTATCGATCGTTTCTGGCTGTTTTGTAGAATATACTTCCCCATTCCAAGCTTGGACTTCTCCCTTTAGTTAACGGGGGCTGGAACGCATCAATAGCTAACTTACTGGTCTTTGGTCACCGAGTCTTGTTTCTTGTCCACAGATTAAGTGAAATCTTGATAGCTTCAACCCTAGCAAAAAAATAACTCTTAACAGTTACTATCGAATATATTCTTCTTTCAGAAAATCAATCAAGTATCATTCTAAATGATTTATTTGATTATTTCTATCATTTCCCCCCCCCTCATTTCATATATAGATAATTGATTCACCACCACGTATATATTCGAATCGATTTACTAATTTACATCATTCTACAAATTTATTAAATAATGATATTAAATCATTAAATTTACATCGTCGTTTCAAAGATAATCAATATTATTCATTAATGAATGATCATGAGAAATTAATGAAAACAAATGAATTTCATAATTATGATGAAAATAATCCATTAAATACTAGTTCTATATTAGTTGCTATAGTTGCATTAAGTTGTGCTATCATACTTGTATTATTAGGGATTACTGTATATGTATGCGGTCGACGAGGATTTCAAAGTTTTCGTTATCATCATAATAATAATACTACCACTACTACTAATAATAATAATAATAATAGTAGTAGTAGTAGTAGAAATGGTCGAATGCAATATCTATTACGTAATCATAATTCATTAAATAATATCAAATTAACTGATGATAAATTTAATTGGAAAAATATATTAAATTCAAAATATTATACAAATCATAATAATAATAATAATACAATATTATATCCTAATAAATCAATAATCAATAATCAATATCATTCCAATCAATCGATCTTATTCAATAATGAAAATAATCCATATATTGATCAATTTAGTAATATATCCTTAAAATCAATATTGATTGAAGAAAATAATTCATTAAAAAATAAACAAAAAAATCATGAAAATTATACAACATTTTTACCATTCATGAATATACATCATATAGAAATGATCAAAAAACATTACCAATAATCAATGATAAACAATCAATATATTTAACAATGCCAATCAATAATAATAATAATGATGAATTAAAACAAAATTATGAAAAATATTGGATTATTAATAAACAAGATTCTAATAATTATACATTACCACAATATAATCAATATGAACAACATATAAGTAATAGTAATAGTACACTGATCAATACTAATCTTGATTATTTACAACAATCTCATCATAGTAACAATAATAATAATAATAATGATCCATTGAATTTATGTAAAACGATGATGAATGGTGAAGATTTAAAAAATAAATCAATATTACCAATGAATATATCAACAATAGATATGATAAATAATACGAATAATGTTACCATGGCAACAGATACGATTAATAGTATCATGAATAATAATAATAATCATAAAATTGATCCTAATTATTTTACACAATCGTTAAAATTAAAAAAATCAGAGAAATTCGATAATTCAATGAATTTATTGAATGCATCAATGAATGATGATAATAAACACGATCATAATTCAAACGAAATAAATCAATTAAAAACTGCTAGAAGTTTCGAATATATTGTAATACCACATAATAATAATAACAATAATAATAATAATCAGGTAAGTTACAATATTGATTGTTTATTTATTTATAGGTGAGTCAATCAGATTTAAGATAGAAGGTCATAGATGTTGGCGCGAGATTCATATATATAATCATTTAGTTAAATACTGTTACGATTTTATATTCGTTCATATTTTATTGACCAATCAAAATACGACTTATTCACTATTTTACTGTAATAAACCAATGACGTTCAACCGGTATGAATAGTCTAGCGTTATTATTGGTCCTTTGCTTGCTTAGCCCGTCCAGTTAAGTTTAGAATACTGATTATACTTTTCGCTATGCGAATCATTTATTTCAGATATACTTAGTTCATATACCGGCTAAACAGACCACATCATACCATAAAATAGGAAATAACCTTTGTACATGATCAAGCCCAAAAGTGTCTGTGATTATGGGGAGGGGGAGGCGGTAATAAATAAGCTGAGCATAACTTAGGAACATTAAATCGTATCATCGAAATAGTCTATAGGTCAAAATGAAGCTTATGATAAGAGAAATATAAATATACATAATCTGGTTACTGAACAGTTATACAATTGGAATATATATATAATATTAGTCTATTAATAGGCCTCAGAAGTTACTCGTAATAAGATCTTCACTAGGATATAACAAATACCATTTCAGTATTATAGCTAATGTTAGTTCGTGATGAAAACTCTAATTCTAATTCCTAACCTTAACCATCACCAGTAAATCATAATTCTAATTCCTCACACTGCTTTATAACCTTCATCATTAAGTCCTAGTAAATAGGTGAACATCCTCAAGATCATTTTACTGTTACTTAAAAGTTGTCCATAATTTATAATCTCATCTAAAAAATTATAAGATTTCTATATTACTACTGAATAGCTGTTTGAATTTCAGTTCGTTTAAATTTCATATTCATCTCTACAAAACCGAATCTCCACAGAAATTTTCTGGATTAAGGAGAATTAATTGCGTAATCATGTATTTATTACAAATTCTTCGAAATTCGTGCTTTCCTCAATATGTGTCCTATCCACTTCCAACACTTCTTCCTCTACTGGGATCTGGTTTGTTCTTTTCCATAGTAGCTTGTTGCTGATAATGTCTGGTCAACGAATCCCAATTATTTTGCATAGACAACTGTTAATAAACACTTCGTAGTTCTCGAAGTTTCCTCTCCATACAGTAGAACTGTCTTGACATTTGTATTGAAAATTGTGGTAATTACCGAAACAGATCATCTATTTTTACATAATTAGATTATAGCTAACAATGGGAGCCAAAATAGACGTATCACCTTATATGAAACTTTTCATGTGGATAAATCTCCATCTTAGTGTTAAGTTCAAAATGGAACTCGAACCTGATACCAAATGTCTCAAACGCAAACACGTTGATTACTAATACATTCAGATCAGGTAATAACTCACTTGTTCAATAGGAATGAAAGTGTGATGAATAGTTTTTAATTTCCTGTTGTTGAAATTCAAGATTGAGATTAATCAGCCTCTATCACTTCATGTGCATTCTGAATGATTTACCTGATTAAACCCATTTAGTCATAAGTTTCAAAACGTTCGAACTGTGATTATTAATGATAAAGGCTATATTGATGTCATCCACTAAAGATAAATATATGGCATAACAGTCTTAAGCAAGACTATAATGTATGGACGAACCAATCAGAATTACGATAACAGGTCCTCGATGTCGGTGCGAAAATCTTTATCCGTTTGGCTAAATAGAGTCTAGGCATTTTAACTGAAGTCAGTTCGTGATGAAAATCCTAAATCTAATCCCTATCCCTAGCCATAAAATATAAATCAAAATCTTTATCTTTCACGCAGGTTTAAAACCCTCATTCAAGCCTATTCAGAAGGTGGACATTCTCAAGGCTATTTTAGCGTCGCCCAAAGGTCGGCCATAAATTATAGTCTCACTCAATCTTAAATTGCAACCAAAGTAAATTACAAACCATTGTGAGGTAGGCGATTTATTCTCATTGCAATTCAGGGTCACAAACATATGCTGATTATTGCTACTTAATTGTACAGATTGGATTAAATAGTGTTCAATTGTTGAAACCTGAGTACTTGAGTTATTTACTGAAGTGCGAATTCTATACCTCTCCATTAGTGGTTCAGTTTAAAGGCTTAGAACTATGTGGATCGAAGATATATCGATTAGGCAAACTAAACTCATTCCTCCAATTTAATCCTATCACAAATAATAATGTTTGTTACCTGAATAATCACTAGTAAAACAAATTGAAGATTATTCAATACATCACTAGTTCTTATCCATAGTATTAGTGTAATACATAATGAAAATGTACTTTATATGTAATATATACTACTGATATAGACAGATATAAGTAATATGTATCATCAATCAAGAGTGAAATGTCCAGTAGCAGAAGGTTAATAAGATCGAAGAAAACATGATGAGAACAGAGAATAATTGCTGTGTAAACAAAAGAACAATCAAGTCTAAAACAACTGATTGACATATTGTAAATGATTAGCAGAAAGCCTTTTGTGGAGATTTTAGAAAGTTCACTGACTGAAATCATGAGTCAATTGAAGCTAGACAACCATGGAAAACCTAGAAGCACTGGACGGCCGTTTCGTCCTAGTATGCGACTCCTCAGCAGTGCGCATCCACGACTTCACCTCGCGAGATTTGAACCCAGGACCTATCAATTTCACGCGTGAGGGTTGGATGCTAGCTCAGTGGTCTAGTTGATTAAGCGCCTGGCGGCGGCGGCCTGCTTGAGCATCTGGGCTACCTGTTCCTGCCATCTAGATATTTCAACAAGTTATCTATCTTTGTTTGTTTTAATATATCATTATGTCTATTAATCGCACAACCTATACTGCTGCGTTTCTGAAAAATGTACAACCTTTCGTTACTAAAGTTACAAAAAGCTCAAAAAGAGAGAATATGGTTGCTGGCAATGTACAACGAAAGGAATGTACATCATTTCCATGTTCATTTACTGGACTGATAACATCTAGCTGGCGACCACTCAGTATTTATCGCGAGGACCGACCAAGAAGAAAGAAACGGAAACTTGTTGAAATACTTTGTGCTGAGAATTCTATATTGTACCAATAATATAATATTGAATAAAGCTATTAATAATAATAATAATAATAATAAAAAGTGGTCTAGTTGATTAAGCGCCTGGCGAAAGATTGGTAGGTCCTGAGTTCAAATCTCACGGGGAGGGGCGGGATAGTGGATGCACACTGCTGAAGAATCCCATACGAGGACGAAACGGTCACCCAGTGCTTCTAGGTTTTTTCATGGTTGTGGTCTAGCTTCAAATGGCTCATTATTTCAACCAGTGATATTGTAAATGAATTATTTACTATATAATACTCAGTTTTAACTAAGTGATTCAATAAGTTTGTATTAAAATACATTGGATTATCCCTACTATTGTTGTTCTTATTCATTACAATGGAAGTTGATATTGATCAATTCTTATTCATTAGTTAACAAATGTTTTATATAATGATTGACAATAGAAAATCTTATCTCAATATTTCCGGTTATATCATTTATGTCAATCAGAATGATACTATTCATTTTAGATATATTTCCTTAAAAACGGAAAGTTACCATTTAGATCTAAACTATTCACAGTTAAAAGGAAGTAGCTTGAAAAAATAAATCATGTCTAGATTATCCGAATAATCTTATTGGTTGATTGATCTTGTTGTTTTTCAACTAATCAACTATTGAGATTATTAATATACCCCTTCAAGGGATATTTCTTGGAATTGTAGCGTGAAGTTGTGATCAGTGAAGTTCAACCTAGATTTGTTGTGAGATAGTAACTCATTGATGACAATGATGGACGGTGGCGCAACTTAGTGAATTTGTTAAAGTTAGACAACAAAAACAATGGATGCTAGCAGGCTCAGTGGTCTAGACGTTAAGCGTTCGTGCGCAAGACTGATAGATCTTGGTTTCGAGTCTCGCGAGGCAAGATCATTGATGTGCACTGATTAGGAGTCACACAATAGGACGAAACGGTCATCTAGTGCTTCCAGGTTTTTATGATGATCTAGCTTCGATTGACTCATGATTTCAACTACTTATATATGTTCTTTCTTCTTCTGAATGTTGAACCAATCTTTTCTTACTTTCTATTGTTTTATTCGGTAATTCAAGTCATTATCTCCTTTATCATCAAACAAAGATCATGACAAACCTCAAGAACAACAACATCAAGGTCAGTTTCGAATTTTTATTTAGTTTTATAGAATGCATTCAATATTATTACAGTATAGTTGTGTAAAATTTAACTTATATAGAATTAATATGCTTCATTATTCTATTCTCAGAATAGATTTCATTTATAAAAAGAAAGTATTTGGTAAATTGACATCAAATGAGTATTCAATAAGAACTGTATTTACCTTTATCAGCAGAGATTTGGTGTTTACCAATGGAATTCAGCATTCGCATTTCGTCATATTTGAGACTCGTCAGGTGGATGTACTTACATTCCAGAGTTGATACTCCATCATCCATTTTTGCTTATAATACTTGTGACTAGGCAATCTGCAGAGGATGCTCATATGGCAACAATAGAGGAGCAGGATTTAAACAACCAATACGAAAATGAATTAATTCTTCCTTATCTATAACTTCTCATTAAGTTGAATCATTTACGGAAAACCATTTCATAGGTGTTCACTTTTAAAGAAACTTAAACAAGGTTAAAAAGAAATATCTAGTACATATTAAGAACGTTTTGGTTAATATTAGTTCGCAGTGAAAATCTAAGTTTTAAATATTCTCAAACTTTTATTATTTTAAAAGCGATTGGTTGAAATTAGACATTAACACTAGTATAAGGGTTGTGGAGATTATTAAGTTTTTGATTGAGATCATGAACCAATTGATGTTAGACCACCATTGGAAACCTGGAAGCACTGGATGGCCGTTTCGTCCTGTCGTGAAACTTCTCAGCAGTGCGTATTCACGATCCCGCTCGCGGGATTCGAACACAGGGCCTTCAGTCTCGCGCGCGAACGCTTAATCTACCAGACCACTGAGCCGGCATCCAATGGTGATAGTGTCTAACATCAACCAATCCACGAAATTGCACGACCATCTTCCATTGTACTGAGGTAGATACCTGTTTCTACCCGACATGGATTAGCTCCACTTGTCACGGCTTCTGACTAGAACTCCGAGAATTCTCTCACGAAGCTAGTCACTAGTGAGCTCAATGGTCCAGAAGGTTAAGCGTTCGCGAGCGAGACTGAAGGCCCTGTGTTCTAATCCCGCGAGCGGGACCGTGGATGCACACTACCGAGGAGTCCCACAATAAGCCGAAATGGCTGTCCAGCCTTTCGAGGTTTCCGACGATGGTCTAACATGAATCAGTTCATGATCTCAATCAAAGATATTAACACTGTTGGAAACTGGCTCATTAGTCTAGAGGTTAAGCGCTCATGCACGAAACCAAAAGTCTTGAACTCGAGTCCCACTTGTAAGATTATGGGTGTTCACTACTGAGGAATCCTCCCAGATTTTCAATGATGGTCTAGCTTAGATCGACTTATCATTTCAGTTGTGAACATACTACAATCTCCACATATCCCCATTATTAAAAATAGACAATAATTTGTTGTAGATAAAATTAATGGTCTCTGTGAGTGGAACGTTAGTGAATAATGATTCGACATCCAGAGATAGAATAATTTTGTCACATACATTCACTCCTTTTATGTGCTTGATAAATTCAAAAGTATCATGTACGGAATGTTTACAAATGCGTTTTTTTTTTAACGGGTTCTAGAAGATTTCCCATCCACTTTGCTGTAGAGTGGTAAGGGGATCCTGACATATCGAGAATCGGTCTAAGAGGTAGGCCAAGTTTGTGTATTTTTGGCAAACCGTATAATCGCGGTATTATTGATGCTGTTAGTTTTATGCGCTCAAAGACCTGTTCGTTGATTAACTGCTCATTTTTCATTCTCTTAAGAACTTCAATCAGTTGCTTTTCTATAATTTCTGTCTTGGTTTTCTCATTGATTGGTTTTGAGAGTTTGGTGTCATCTGATAATAACTTTGTCATTTTTTCAACAGAAATCTTACAATCAACAACTAACAGCATCAATAATACCGCGATTATACGGTTTGCCAAAAATACGCAAACTTGACCAATTCTCGATATGTCAGGATCCCCTTACCACTCTATAGGAAAGTGGCTGACAAGTCTCCTAGAACCCGTTAAAAAAAACACATTTGTAAACATTCTGTACGTGATACTTTTGAATTATTAGTTGTATTCAATTCATTTATTTCTATTTTGTTTATTTAGTTTCATGGACTTCTAATATTCAAACAAGTATTCCATCAAGTAAATCAACAACAATTTTATCACCACAATATACAATTCAACATAATATAGGTCATTGTCTTTCAGATAATCAATCTTTTATGATTACTTCTACACCTTGTATTACTTCTACATCTTCTACACTTTCTATTACTTCGACTACTTCCACTGATACTACTAGTACTCATACTACTCATACTACTAATACTACTACTACTACTACTACTACATCATCAAACTTTTCTGATTATACTATTATTAACCAATATCCTAATACATTACAAACATTTAATAAACAATCTAATCATAATGATAATTTATCTGTATTCTATTTAAATCATTCAACAAATATTATTGATCATTATAATCAATCTTTATTATTAAATCAATTTAATCATAAACAAATCAATAAATCAATAGAGAATTGTAATCAATCAATAACACCAATTAATTTAATTGATTTTATTGATAAACAATTAAATGATAAAAAATCTTTTAAATATGATATAATAATAGATAATTCAATAATAAATGATTCTAAGGATTCAATAGATAATAATAATGCTAATACAGTTATGTATATGATAAACAATCAACAACAACAACAACAATCGAATTCTTTACATTATGATTCAAATCACGATAATATTTCATCAATTTCAACTGATTTTGTTTAAAGAAATTCGTTCAATTATTGATTTTTTTGTTTGTTTGTTTCTTTTCTTTTCTTCTTTTCTTTTCTTTTCTTATAGACGATCACAATAAACAATTGTACATTTTTGTTTTGATAAAATAACTCATTTCATTAGATTATATAATAACATTACTAATAATAGATTTGAATTGTTTAGTGTTTTTTTCTAGGGGGGGGGGAGGAGGGCGAGTTAGTTTTCTACGGCGGGGATGAGGAAGGTCGCTAACCTCATTCACAACCCTCCTTCTTTATCCGGGCTTGAAACCGGCCAGCAGTGACTTGAGAAAACCTATAGGCAGAGTTAAAACTAAGCCGCGCAGAGAGTTAAACACCGGGCCGCCTGGCTGAGAGCCAGGAATCCTAACCGTTAGACGTAAAGATGTGAACTGGGAAAACAAGGACAGCATTCTTACAATTAAAGAACATATGTAACTCAATACAGCTTTCAACCAATAACAAAGTCACAATCTTCAATACTAACGTCAGTTCTAACGACAGTTCTACTGTATAAAGCAGAAACTTAGAGAATTACCACAACAATTATCAAGAATGTACAAGTATTAATGAACAATTGTCCACGTAAGATATTCATTGTTCGTTGATCGGATACCATCAGCAACAGCCTACTGTGGGAGAGAATAAACCAACTTTCAGCTGAAGAAGATATTTGGAAAAGACGTTGAAAATGAATAGTACGTACATTACTGAAATCACCAAACTGCATCACGAGGCAAGCGCTTAGTTGGAATCCTGAAGGAAAGAGGAAAATAGAAAGGCCAAAGAACACATTACGTTGGGAAATAGAATCAGATATAAAAAGGATGAATAACAATTGGAAAGAGTTGGAAAGGATTGTCCAGGACAGAGTTGGATGGAGTATGCTGGTGAGCTGTCTATGCTCCTGCACGAGGGTTGACAGACATAAGTAAAGTAAGTAAGTTACTTTAACGAATCATTAAAAAGCTTGAGAATATTTAATTTGTAACAATCCTAACAACATAACTCATTACTACTGTTATTACTACTATTAATACCATTTCTAAATACAGTGAGAATTATTTTCAACTTACACCAAATGTTGGGAGAAAAACATAATCATAGATTTCCCATCATTTTATTCTTATATACATTTAATGAATCAATTATACAATTATTCCCGCATTTTATTACAGTTTCATTTTTATTACCCGAATAGCTTGCCAATATACAATAATGATAATAATAATAATATTGACTTGAACATTCACATAAATAACTGTAATAAAACGAAATAGTAATATAGAATCCAAACTAAGATTTGGACTAAAGAATAAAAGTCTAGTTAGTTTAGATAAACACTATTGACCAATTGAAACCTGTTATAACTTGTTGTTTGAATGCTTATTGTCTTGGCTCATTTAATGCTAATTTTTTGTATCTGATCGTCGCTGATTGTTATGTCGGAAACGCTTATCACTTATACTCAGAACGAAGGGACCTCTGCAATTCCCACGACGTGAAAGTAAGAACACAAAGACTGGTATAAGTGATGATTTATTAACCCCAAAACACGACGACGACGACGAAAACGATTCTAGTAGAAAAGATACTCATAATGAGTAAATCAATCGAAAATTGACTTTTTCTTTCCATCATATCAAAACCAAAACAAGTTGATCAAGTAAATGATGATTCTGGATTTTATTATAATTATAAATGTACATGATTACCTAAACAATTATTACCAACTAATAATTATTCAATTATTAACTAAATCTAAATTACAACCGTTGGATGCCGGCTCAGTGATCTAGTGGTTAAGTGCTCGCGCACAAAACCACTAGGTCCTGGGTTCGAATGTCACAGGGGGCGAGGTCGTGGATGCGCACTGCTGAGGAGTCCAACAATAGGACGAGACGGCCGTCCAGTGCTTCCAAGTTTTCCATGGTGGTCTAGCTTCAACCGACTCATGATCTTAACCATTGAAATTACTATAATATCCACAAAAACCATCTGATATTAACAAATCAATAATTTGATAAAGTAATTTCAGTAGCTGAAATCATGAGTTAATTGAAGCTAGACCGCAACTATGGAAAACCTGGAAGCATTGGATGGCCGTTTCGTCCTATTGTAGGATTCATCAGTAGATAAAGGATGTAAGAAAATTACCAATCGAAGCAAATAAATGTTATTCTGGATAGATCACATACGGATTCGTTCGAAAGATAATATTTCGTTGCTTTATAACGCAGAGAGTATTTCCAATTCTAGAAGAGTGCTTCAACTCATAATCAAAAAATGCACAATTCCAGTCAATGAAAACAACACAATCAAAAGGGGGGAACAAACCCATATAGCTGCCGCCAAGACTAAGTATTAACTAAAACAACATAAATACAGGTCAGGAAGAAACATAGAGACTCAGTGAAAGCGGAAGAAAATATTAAAAAATATAATAAAATACAAATCAGCAGTAAGTTTCAACATACACAAAGGGAAATGCAAGATTCTCCGATACAACAATGCAAGCAACAATCGAATCACACTTGACTGAGAAAATTTCGGAAGAGTTTTGGCATTTTAGCTGATATCAGTTCAAGATAAAAACCCTAATCTAATTCTTAACCTTAACCATCAACTGTAAATCATAATTCTAATTCCTCACACTGGTTTATAACTTTCATTTAATTCTAATTAGTAGGTGGATGAATAGCAAGATTCTCTGATATAACACAGAATGCACCAATCGAATCACATTTGATGGAGAAACATTGGAAGATATAAAAGACATTTACATATCTAGACGGCATCATTGACGAACACCATGGATCTGATGCAGATGTGGAGGATCGAATCAGCAAAGCGGTAGCAACATATCTATAATTGAAGAACATCTAGAAATCAAAACAACTTTGTCAATCAACACCAAAGTCAGGATTTTCAATAAAAATGTCAAGACAGTTCTATTGTATGAGGCGGAAACTTGGAGAACTACGAAAGCCATCATTAAGAGGATACAAATGTTTATTGACAGTTGTTTACACAAAATACTTCGAATCCGTTGACCAGACACTATAAGCAACAACCTACTGTGAGAGGGAACAAACCAGATTGCAGAGGAGGAAGAAATCAGGAAGAAATGTTGGAAGTGGATAGGACACATATCGAGGAAAGCACCCAACTGCATCACAAGACAAGCCCTCACATGGAATCCTCAAGGTCAAAGGAAAAGAAGAAGACCAATGGACACATTACGCTGAGAAATGGAGACATACATGGGAAAAATGAACAGGAATTGGATGGAATTAGAAAGGAAGGTCCAGGACAGAGTGTGTTGTAGAATGCTGGTCTGTGGTCTATGCTCCATTCGGAGTAACAGACGTAAGTGAGTAAGTAATAAAATGGAATCAAAAATACTAACAACATGTAATACTGGAGAAATCGATTGGAACAGATTACAAGTGTATGCATGGAAGGGTTTTCACACACACACACACACACACAAAGACCTTCAAAAAAAGGATCTTATAAGTAGTTTGTATTGCTATTATAGGGAAAGTGAAATGTCACTGAGGCCTAGTCAAATCATCCAGCAGTTTGTGTCACTGAATATCGAACAGATCATCGATCCTAATCAAAGTCAAGGACAACCAACGCGCATCAGTTGATTGTATGTCATGGATTGGCGCATACGGTGGTGGTCTCACTATCTTATTAATATATTTCTTTAAAAACGTCTTCTGTGTTATACGGTCTTTATAGGAACCATAGTACTCTGATACATCAATGGAGTAATCCACGTCAGATGTTGACCTTAAAATGTGACTTCGAATTTAGCTAGTTTATCACATCGTTCTCGTCTAATTCAAGTAGGCCTCCAATTATTCAACATAGATTATCTATCTTTTATTCACTTCTATTTCAATTACTTTTTAACTACATGTTTAAGTATATTCAACCATCCGTTATTCATTAACATGAAAATCCACTTAAAATAAAAAACAACAGAAAGGTCAAAAGTCAATTTCATAAATAACACAATAGGGAATATTGATCATTCAAGTTATCATCTACTGTGATTGTCCTATCGACGCCAATTGAATAAGTGATTGTCCTACAACGATTCACTACCCCAACCACCATCCCCCCCCTAAAAAAGGAATTTTAAGGTTAATCATAATTAAACTATTCAAATAAACAGAAAATGATTTTATTAATTGAAAATAAATGGGTCATCAGTATCTAGTCAAACTGTGATTTATCATTAATTGAATGATTCATATTGTTGACCGTGACCTTTAATGAATCTTCAATGAAGTTCATTGTTTATTTGAAAAAGAGAAAAAGAAAACAATTGCTCATTAGTGAGTCATTTGATGAATGAAAACAAACAAACAAACAACAAATCTTAAGCTGTTGTTATATATTAATGAAAGGTATACTACTACTACTACTACTACTACTACTACTACTACTACTACTACTACTACTACTACTACTACTACTACTACTACTACTACTACTACTACTACTACTACTATACTACTACTACTACTACTACTCACTACTACTACTATACTACTACTACTACTACTCTGCTACTACTACTACTACTACTACTACTGCTCTACTACTACTACTACTACTACTACTACTACTACTACTACTACTACTACTACTACTACTACGACGACGACGACGACGACGACTAAGACTACTATTGCGGTGTGAACTACTTATATTGATATAAGTAGTATATGTCGCAAGTTAAATTGTAATATCTGGCAGCAGAAGATGAGGTGAAGATCAAGAAAGGAAGAGCGAGAGCACAATGGAATTTGTAAGAAAACGCATGTACAATGGAACAGGAGACAATGGATTAGTATTTGCAACGAAAACAGTCCAGTTTGATATGATGCATTGATATTTTGCAAATTGACGATTGACTTTATGGTATTCAGATTTTATTCAGATAGTCTGTAACTTTTGTACCAAGTGCAATCGATTGTCCTTACTGGTGTTCTGTTCACTACACTATGACTACTACGTCTACTACTACTACTACTTTTACGTTTAATAATCACATACCACGAGAGATGGAAACGTTCACGTTCCTGGGCAGAATCGTCAATAAATAACAAGGATCTGATACAGATGTAATGGTAAGGAATGGCAAAGCAACGACCGTATTCTTTCAATTTTAGAACGTATGTCACTAAACACAACTTTCAACCAATATCAAAGTCACAATCTTCAATACCAACGTCAAGACAGTTCTACTGTATGGAGCTGAAACTTCGGGAACTACCACAACAATCATTAAGAAAGTACAAGTATTTATAAACAATTGTCCACGTTAGATAATCATTGTCCGTTGATCGGATACCATCAGCAACAGCCTAGTATGAGAGAAGACAAACCAACTTTTAGCTGAGGAAGAAATTAGGGATAGACGTTGGAAGTGGATAGGACATACATTACGGGAATCATCGAACTGCATTACGAGGCAAGCGATAACTTAGAATCCTGAATGGAAAAGCAAACGAGGAAGGCAAATGAACACACTGAGTCTGGAATCGTAAGCAGACATGAAAAGAATGAACAGCGACTGGAAATAACTGGAAAGGATTGTCCACGACAGTGTTGTATAGAGAATGCTGATGGGCCGCCTATGCTCCTCGAGGAGCGGCAACATGCGTAAGTAGTTAAGTTATGAACGATTGAGCATTAAATATTATCATACTGATTGTACAGAAAAATTTCATAGTTCCATAAAATATAACTTTATTTTATCCATTAATAAGCATGATAATTCCAAACATATCAATAAATTGTTTCACATGATTAATTTGAACAGCATATCTACGACAATTGTGAAGATCTTATTGATTTCAACAGTTGAAATCATGAGTCAATTGAAGTCGGACCACCATTTAAAACTTGGGAGTATTAGACGCCCATTTGGTCCTATTGTGAAACTCCTCAGTATCGCACATTTATAGAATGAATATATCTGTGCAACTGTAACCTCCTTTTTTGAGTATACACCTATTAACACAACTTCACCTAAAAACCAATGACTTAGTGAACTGATATGAAGACTTGGTTTGATTCATTTTATTTCAAATGATTTCCAACATTTAACGGAGGGTGAAGATGTGATCAATACATCCTCGTCCAGAACGAAAACTAGCCTGTTCCTTGAAAGTCAATCTTTCTCGGGTTTCTAACAGTCTATCAATTATGAAGGAAGCCAATAGTTTGGACGCAACTGTGGGTAGACTTATCCCTCTACAGTTGTTACAGAAAAGATGTAAACCCTTTATAAAGATAAGGACAACTATAGACTCATTTCATGATGTTGGAACACTGTTTAACTTCCAAACCTTTTTAAACAACTCAGACAGTTCCTTGACCAGAAAGTCATCATCGTCTTTAAAAAGGACAGGAGGTAAGTCTTCCGAACCTGGTGATTTGCAGCGCTTCAAGAGTTGAAGTTTCTTGACGATTTCTACCTCATAAGGTGAATCAGTCTTCACAGGCCATGGAGGGCAGGACAGTCTGATCGATGTTATCTGGGCAGCAGACCAGTTGAACTGCTCCTCGAAAAACTCTGCTCATCGTCCAAGATGTTGACAAATGTTACTGATTAGCATATTGTCATTTTTACAGATTGTTCCGCTCACACTATAATTCCTGCTGCCAGTGCCTCAGATGGATTGAAAAAGTTTCCGGCAGTTACCATAGGTAGCTGCTGCTTCCAATTCATTGGCACACTCCAACCATCAGGCTTCTCGGTCTTTGCCCAATTTCATTGCGTAACAATCTTTTTTTATAGTCAAATTGGTAGTCTTCCGACGTAGACCGACGGGCTACAGTGAGTTGTAAGGAGTTTGAAGAAATTCAGTGCCTATAAGCGGGACATCTCGCAAGCGACTTTGTTCATTATTTTCATGGCGCCATGTAATTGCAACCAATACTCTTATATACTTCTCGGTGAGATGGTAGCTACACTTGAACCTAACTCGGTTTTATATTCAGTGGCTACAGAAGCTGCAACCAATTTACTGACATTGAACCCATCAACATCGATCCGATGACTACTCGTTACAACATCGAATTCAACATTACTACATCATATTACTTATAAGTAACTATTATTTTATTTCGAAAGTTTGTTTGCCGTTAACGGGTTATGTATTTTGATCCTACCAAACTGTGGATTTGTGCTTCTTATCTGTATTTCTTGTTGAATGTTTCTTAATGTTCTCATCATCTGGAATATTTACTTTTTAACTTATACATCTTTAATGAATCTAATACCAAAAGATAATTTTCATTAGTAACAACCTACTCTACATTGAAGTTTGTATTTACTAAGTAGACAATACTATTAACGAAAATATATTAACTGATGGATATGTGTATCATAAATATCGCTAAAAAAAATTATTTAAGTAGTTATTACAGATATAACTTGTTATAAAATATTGATTTCTGGTTATCGTTTTCAATATTTTAGCAACAACCTACTATGGGAGAGAACAAATCAGATCCCAGTGGAGGAAGAAATCAGGAAGAAGCGCTGGAAGTGGATAGCACACACTGAGGAAAGCACCCAAATGCGTCACAAGATAAGCCTTCACGTGGAATCCTGAAGGCCAAGGGAAACGAGGAAGATTAAAGAACACATTACACCGGGAAATGGAGATAGACATGAAACAAATGAATAAGAATTGGATGGAGTTAGAAAAGAAGGCCCAGGACAGAGTGTGTTGGAGAATGCTGGTCAGCGGCCTATGCTCTATTAGGAGTAACAGGCGTAAGTAAGTAAGTAAGTAAAATATTGATAGATTATATGAGTTCCATTGTTGACTAATATACATCTTTTCCATAAAAACAATTAAATATCTAGTTTATTAATAGAATTCATCAGTCACTTGATGCTAAACCACCATGGAAAACCTGGAAGCACTAGAAAGCCATTTCGTCCTAATATAGGACTCGTCAACAGTGCGCATTCATGATCTCGCCTCTTGAGATTCGATCTCAGGATCTATTAGTCTCGCTCACGAACTCAACCTGTAGACCACTGAACCAGCATCCATAGTGGTCTAGCTTCAATGGACTCATGAATTCAATTACTAAATTACCATAATATCCACAAAACCTCTCTCTGTCAAAATATTATTTTTCCTTAATAATATAACTTAATTATTCTTGAATAACCAACAGTATGTTTATATATTATTTATACAGCTTTATAGCTCTTCTAGGGTTGCTGTCTCAGTCCGAATCCCGGATAAGGAAGAAGAGTTAAACATGAAGTTGACAACTTTAACCCATAGAAAATAACCTTACTAAAAAAACCAAATCACTAGCCAGAATAAACAAATTAAACCATTCATGCCTTGACTAAATATGAACCAATTTGCCAGTTTAGAAAAAACAAAATAATTATCTTTCATTCATTTTATAAATATTTAAAATAAATAAATTATTATAAAATATTAATGAAAACTTACGAAGAGGGATCATGGATACACACTATTGAGGAATCCCACAATAGGACGAAACAGCCATCCAATACTTACAAGTATTAGATGATGGTCTAGCTCATAATCTCAACTATTGAAATTGCTAATCATATCCACAAAAACCGCTTCTGATATCATTCAACATATGCTCACTAGTGACGGGTTTCAAGATGCATATCCCGGAGTTCTAGTGAGGAGCAGTGACCAGTGAATTTCAACTAGGTCTGTTGTGAGATATCAACTCACTGAATACAATGGTGGATGTATCACTCAATTTGGTGGATTAGTAAAATTAGACATTATTACCATTGAATGCCGACCAACTCAATAGTCTAGAGGTTAATCGTTCTCATTTCGAATCTCATCAAACGGGATCATGGATACACATTGTTGAGGAATCCCACCATAGGACGAAACGGCCATCCAATACTTACAAGTATTAGATGATGGTCTAGCTCATAATCTCAACTGTTGAAATTACTAATCATATCCACAAAAACCGCTTCTGATATTAATCAACATATGCTCACTAGTGACGGGTTTCAAGATGCATATCCTGGAGTTCTATTGAGAAGTAGTTATTGTGATTATTATTATTATAAGCTTTATTCAACATTATATTTTTGGTACAATATAGAATTCTCAGCACAAAGTATTTCAACAAGTTTCCGTTTCTTACTTCTTGGTCGATCCTGATGATAAATATTGAATGATCGCCAGTTATATATTAACAGTTCAGTAAATCAACATCTGAATAATGTGCATTCTTTTCGCTGTATATTGCCAGCGTCCACATTATCTCTTATTGGACTTTTTGTAACTTTGACAATCAAAAGTTGTACATTTTTCAAAAATGCACTAGAATAGTGTTATGCAATGAATAGACATCATGACATATATTAAAACAAATAAAAAAATAGATAACTTATTGAAATATCTAGTTTAGCAGGAACATGTAGCCCAGATACTTAAGAAGGCCGCTTATCTAAAATTACATAATTATTGATTATTTATTTCTATTAATCAATATAAATTATTTGAGTGCATAAAATCAATAATCAATAAACCAACAAAAACAATCAATTCACTGAACACATGATCTATAAAAATTTAAATTTTTCCTAGTATAAACACTTCTTCCTTCTATTATTCATTCATTCATTCATTGAATCATTGAATGATTTGTTTAACTGTATAATTTTGATCCTAATAGTATATAATTCCAATTCAAATTATACTCTATTCTATTTGTTATTTGATCTTCAGTAATTGATATTATCTAGATCTACATATAGACACATATATCTATAGTGGATCAAGAAAGTGATCCATTTCTTCGTGTTAAACATCATTATCTTGGATCTTTTAACAGATCTATTATTATTTTCAATGATTGATATTACTTATAATATTTTTATGATGTCAACATTTGTTAGTTTATGTTCATCATCATCATCATCATCATATAAAAAATTATATAAAAGTACAACAAATTACCGGATCATTAATAATCAATATATCAATGTGAAATCAATTTCAATAGAAAAATTAAAAAATTATTTTTATCGATTAGATCAATTACCATTTATTGATGAAATGTATCAAAATGATCAATGTAAGTAATCAATATTAACTTTTCTTTTTTCTTTTTCTTTTTAATTCATTGAGATCATGAACCTAATTGATGACGTTATTGAAAACCTGGAAGTCAGTTAGTCAGTCAGTAACAACGTAAAAATTCGTACGTACGTACGTACATCAGTTCGAGTTGTCATACCACATCAGCACAGAGATGCAGTGGTCGATTCAAATCCCGTAGTGGTAGAGTTAGTAAGAGTATAAGCAGTAATCAGGAAAGTTATTGTTTGGAGATGTTATTTAAATAGTATAATACAGTGAAATAATTTTGGGAAGAGAAAAAAAAGAGACAAGGAGGAATAAGGAGATCAAAATTTGGGAGAACACAAAGAGTGGATGCACCTGCGCCATTGCAAACGATTTTAAGCCATGTCATTCAGGGTCTCTAACCATTGGTTGCTATCATCTCGCGGTCCCCGACCAGGTAGTCTCCACGTACCAAGATGACTCAGTCTACTTGTCAATAACTTCATAGACTTGTGCCATGTTTTGTTCTGGCCGCCCCTAGCTTTCTTACAACCTATTCCTATACCATTGAACATCGCACGTCGAGGCAGTCAGTCGTTGAGCATATGTAACACGTGTCCCAGCCATCTCAACTGATGAAGTTTCACTACGTCATCAATTGATTTGCCATCCTTACCTAGTGACCGTTTCCTAACAACTGCATTACTTACTCGATGGTCCCAGGATATACGAGTACTAGATGATCAATTCATCCTATTGTGAGATTCATCAATATTGAGCATCCATGATCTTACCTTATAGGATCTTTTAGTGATTAACTATTCACAAGTGTAAATGAAGTGTTTAGATATTGATTTCTGTGTTTAAGTTTGTACATAAACACTACTACTAGTGTATCTTATATTAGAATAAGATGGTTGTTCAATGCTTCAAGATCTTCTATAGTGATTTAGATAAGATTGTAGATTATAAATGAAACTGGAAAAATTCTGGAATAATCAAAATTGATTAGGTTAAACAAAATGAGCTCAAAACTCACAAGTCAGAGGTTATTTGTTTGTTTTTTTCTCTTCTAGGAATTATAATACTATTAGACAATCAAGTTACAAAGTGATATTGTTTGGACATTGTAAACTTTAATCGAATTCTTATATTTGTATAACTGTTAACAACAACTGTTTGCCTTATATTATTATCTTTGATCTATCTATGTACTGTTTATAGTTTCTTATAGTTGACTTCTATGCAATTTGAGCCGATATAACTTTATTTTATCCATTAATAAGCATGATAATTCCAGACATCATTAATTAAATGTTTTACCTAATTAATTTGAACAGCATATCTAAGACAACACATATTGAATCAGAAGGGCTTTTATGAAGATTTTAATAATTTCAACAGTTGAAATCATGAGTCAATTGAAGTTGGCCCACCATTTAAAACGCCCGTTTCGTTTTATTATGAGACTCCTCAGCAGTGCACATTCATGATCCCGTTTCGCAAGATTCGAACCTAGGATCTATCGGTGTCGCACACGAACGTTTAACCTCTAGACCATCCAGTTGGCCGGAATTCAGTGGTGTTAATGTCTAACTTCGACTAATTCAACAAACTGAGCAACACATCCGCCATTGCTTTCAGTGAGTTATTATCTCACAATAGATCCGGTTGAAATCCACTGGTAACTGCTTCTCAATAGAACTCCAGGATATACATCTTGAAACCCGTCACTAGTGAGCATATGTTGATTAATATCAGAAGCGGTTTTTGTGGATATGATTAGCAATTTCAACAGTTGAGATTATGAGCTAGACCATCATCTAATACTTGGAAGTATTGGATGGCCGTTTCGTCCTATTGTGGGGTCCTCAACAATGTGTATCCATGATCCCGTTTGATGATATTCGAAATGAGAACGATTAACCTCTAGACTATTGAGTTGGTCGGCATTCAATGGTAATAATGTCTAATTTTACTAATCCACCAAATTGAGTGATACATCCACCATTGTATTCAGTGAGTTGATATCTCACAACAGACCTAGTTGAACTTCACTGGTCACTGCTTTTCACTAGAATTCCAGGAAATTACATTTATTAGAATTCAGATAGACAGCAGATTTTATAAATATAATGCATTTGAAAACCATCAAAGCTTTTTGTTTTAATGAGAGATACTTTCTGTAGTGCTGTGTTCAATGAGTAAAATGTTTTTCCGATTCTATTCTGAATGGCATTACTAAAGCCTACTATACTTAGAGTCAAAGTTCTTCATTCATTTCATAAACAGGAAAACACAACTAACAAGAATGAAGGAAGTAAAACTTACTTGGAAAGTCAGTCATCGATAAGGCTATCTGATTCAAATAACTTGACATATATGTACAAATAATGACCGAAAAATCACCTCTATATAATGCAGACATTGATGATAGTGTCGTAAATATCAGTGATAGCTGGTTGGGGTTTGCTAACAAGGCATAAATGCTTTAGTCTTACAGGTGGTCAATCGCACATCGGAGGTTTTAGCGGTAGCATCTTAGTCTGTCTACTGTACGGACCTGAAACTTGGAGAACTACAACAACCATCATCAAACATGTACAACTATTTATAAATAGTTGTCTACGCAAGATACTCAACATCCATTGACTGGATACCGTCAGAAATAACCTACTGTGGGAGAGAACAAACCAGCATCCAGCTGAAGAAGAAGTTAGGAAAAGACGATGGAAATGGATAGGACATACATTACTGAAATCGTCAACCTCCAACAAGAGACAAGCCGTACCTTGGAATCCTGAAGGGAAGAGGAAAATAGGAAGGCCAAAGAACACATTACGCCGAATAATAGAAGCTGATATGAAAAAGATGAATAACAACTGGAAGGAGCTGGAAAGGATTGCTCAGGGGAGGGTTGAATGGAGAATGCTGATGAGCAGCCTATGCTCCTCCACGAGGAGTAACAGGCGTGAGTAAGTAAGTAATCTTCGTCTATAGAGTCATGCGACATGGGATCGAGTTCCACAGGGATTATCAGTTTCTCCAAGACTGTAAGTACAACTTATTGACAAATGTTTGAAACAACCCGAAATTTAGATCGAAAAGGGTTTCCTTCCATCTACCACTATTCAATTAAAAACTCAGAAAACTCAATACCAGAAATATTTGTCGATAATATCTAAAACGGAAACTCATGATTAGTCATGTGTATCTATGCCTATAACTAGTACACTGAATATGAATAAATCAAATATCCTAACTCATTGACTTGTATAGTACTCAAACACTTATGAAATACATAACTGACAATCATATGGCTTTTTTTTTAATTCTTGATTTCATTTTGTCTTAATTATTGTTAATTAATAAAATGTATAATCTATGAAAATGACAAGAAGTTATTTGATGATATGTTCAATGACATATGATCATGAATAGAAACATGCAGTTCTTACATTAAAAAGGTAATACATTCAAAATGATTAACAAGATATCAATCACATGAACCCTCTTCACGTATGTATTGTAGAGGTTAATAAATCCCCAGAATCAGTAGATCTGGATCTGCTGAGGAGTCCCATACTAGGACGAAACGGCCATCTAGTACTTCCAGGTTTTCCATGGTGGTCTAGCTTCAATTGACTCATGATTTCAATCTGTGAAATTTCTAAAATCTCCACAAACCCCTTCTGATAATAATCATCTGCTCACTAGTGACTGACTTCAAGAGGTACTCCCAGAGTTATAGTGAGAAGCCATTACCAGTGGAGTTCAACCAGGTCTGTTGTGAGATATCGGCTTACTGAAGACAATGGTGTACGTTGATGCAAGTTCGTGGATTGTTTGAAATTAGACATTAACACCATTGGATGCCGGCCGGCTTAGTAGTCTAGTTGGTTAAGGGCTGGTGCGAGACTGATAGGCCCTGGGTTCGACTCTCGCAAGGCGGGATCGTGTGTGCGCACTGCTGAGGAGTCCCATACTGGGATGAAACGGATGTCGAGTGCTTCCAGTTTTTCCATGGTGGACTAGCTTCAATTGACTCATGATTTCAATCAGATCTATGATTCTTCGACATTTGGATGTTTATCACATTAGTTTTAATGGACTCATTTAGCAGATGGCGCTCGGTCATGCATTCACACCAGATCATGAGTGGTTACTCTATGCTCAACATCCTCTACAATCGCTAGCTAGCCTAGATCATTTGATTCTCGATATATTGATAGCCTATTCAGTATATCTTCAAACCTCTTCACTTCTGACTTTTAATTTAACTAGGTGGGTATGATTTATAGTAGAAGGTGTTACTGGGTAAAGTGTTATTAAACTCAAAATACCTATGGTATCTTCAGGATATGATGACTCTCATTAGTAATTTATAGACATAATCGTTTTCAGTTGTTGATATTAAGGACTGTAATTGATTACATTCTATTAGCATATGTTCATCACGAGAGGAAAAAAGGTTTGATATTACCATTTCGTTACAAATTTTTTTCTTAGTATACAGATTGAGGTTAGTAATGTAATCTAGAATGTCTATTTCATTCCTTTTAGGACTCATCACATCGATAGACTTGTATTCTACTGTCGATTATCATAGTGAGAGTTGAATCCAGTACCGGTTAAACATGTTAATGATTATATGGACTCAGTAGTTGATCAGACAACAGTGCTACTATATTTCATTCACAGTGCATTCGCACAAACTTCAGCACATATCACTCAAAATTTCTACAGACACATGATAATTAACTCACGAAATGTCAGCGAAAAGGTATACAAATTTTCTACACCTTTTTCCAGGGACTATTAATGTAGTTTATCAATACAAATGTTATACTCTGCATCCACAGCCTTTCTCTGACATAGTTCTATGTAAGCCATTGTAGTGTAGTGAAAGACAACACAAATGGGGACAATCGAATGTATTTGAACACATGAAATTATAGAACATCTTAGTAAAATCTGAGAACCATACAGTAAATACTTAATTTGTAAAAT